CATTCATTGTTTTGTGTTTGCACCACCCACTAAGTACTAACCCATCCTTCCCCCTCCCCTTTGCACTTGTTCTGCCACTTTCGTTTCAGAGCCACAGTCGTCGATGGATTCAGCGCTGGAGTGCTAGGGCTGGCGGCGGTCTATAAGGAGGAACAGCATGCCAACATCGATGGAAAAGAGGTATTTCTTAGTTCTTAAGAAATGTAAGGTAAGAGTTTTCCCTTCATTCATTGTTTTGTGTTTGCACCACCCACTAAGTACTAACCCATCCTCCCCCCCCTCCCCCCCCCCCCCCCCCCCCCTTTGCACTTGTTCTGCCACTTTCGTTTCAGAGCCACAGTCGTCGATGGATTCAGCACTGGAGTGCTAGGGCTGGCGGCGGTCTATAAGGAGGAACAGCATGCCAACATCGATGGAAAAGAGGTATTTCTTAGTTCTTAAGAAATGTAAGGTAAGAGTTTTCTCTTCATTCATTGTTTTGTGTTTGCACCACCCACTAAGTACTAACCCATCCTGCCCCCTCCCCTTTGCACTTGTTCTGCCACTTTCGTTTCAGAGCCACAGTCGTCGATGGATTCAGCGCTGGAGTGCTAGGGCTGGCGGCGGTCTATAAGGAGGAACAGCATGCCAACATCGATGGAAAAGAGGTATTTCTTAGTTCTTAAGAAATGTAAGGTGAGAGTTTTCCCTTCATTCATTGTTTTGTGTTTGCACCTCCCACTAAGTACTAACCCATCCTCCCCCCTTCCCCTCCCCCCCCCCCCCCCCCCATTTGCACTTGTTCTGCCACTTTCGTTTCAGAGCCACAGTCGTCGATGGATTCAGCGCTGGAGTGCTAGGGCTGGCGGCGGTCTATAAGGAGGAACAGCATGCCAACATCGATGGAAAAGAGGTATTTCTTAGTTCTTAAGAAATGTAAGGTAAGAGTTTTCTCTTCATTCCTTGTTTTGTGTTTGCACCACCCACTAAGTACTAACCCATCCTGCCCCCTCCCCTTTGCACTTGTTCTGCCACTTTCGTTTCAGAGCCACAGTCGTCGATGGATTCAGCGCTGGAGTGCTAGGGCTGGCGGCGGTCTATAAGGAGGAACAGCATGCCAACATCGATGGAAAAGAGGTATTTCTTAGTTCTTAAGAAATGTAAGGTAAGAGTTTTCCCTTCATTCCTTGTTTTGTGTTTGCACCACCCACTAAGTACTAACCCATCCTTCCCCCTCCCCTTTGCACTTGTTCTGCCACTTTCGTTTCAGAGTCACAGTCATCGATGGATTCAGGGCTGGAGTGCTAGGGCTGGCGGCGGTCTATAAGGAGGAACAGCATGCCAACATCGATGGAAAAGAGGTATTTCTTAGTTCTTAAGAAATGTAAGGTAAGAGTTTTCCCTTCATTCATTGTTTTGTGTTTGCACCTCCCACTAAGTACTAACCCATCCTCCCCCCTTCCCCTCCCCCCCCCCCCCCCCCCCCCCCCCATTTGCACTTGTTCTGCCACTTTCGTTTCAGAGCCACAGTTGTGGATGGATTCAGCGCTGGAGTGCTAGGGCTGGCGGCGGTCTATAAGGAGGAACAGCATGCCAACATCGATGGAAAAGAGGTATTTCTTAGTTCTTAAGAAATGTAAGGTGAGAGTTTTCCCTTCATTCATTGTTTTGTGTTTGCACCTCCCACTAAGTACTAACCCATCCTCCCCCCTTCCCCTCCCCCCCCCCAAATTGCACTTGTTCTGCCACTTTCGTTTCAGAGCCACAGTCGTCGATGGATTCAGCGCTGGAGTGCTAGGGCTGGCGGCGGTCTATAAGGAGGAACAGCATGCCAACATCGATGGAAAAGAGGTATTTCTTAGTTCTTAAGAAATGTAAGGTGAGAGTTTTCCCTTCATTCATTGTTTTGTGTTTGCACCACCCACTAAGTACTAACCCATCCTGCCCCCTCCCCTTTGCACTTGTTCTGCCACTTTCGTTTCAGAGCCACAGTCGTCGATGGATTCAGCGCTGGAGTGCTAGGGCTGGCGGCGGTCTATAAGGAGGAACAGCATGCCAACATCGATGGAAAAGAGGTATTTCTTAGTTCTTAAGAAATGTAAGGTGAGAGTTTTCCCTTCATTCATTGTTTTGTGTTTGCACCACCCACTAAGTACTAACCCATCCTCCCCCCCCTCCCCCCCCCCCCCCCTTTGCACTTGTTCTGCCACTTTCGTTTCAGAGCCACAGTCGTCGATGGATTCAGCACTGGAGTGCTAGGGCTGGCGGCGGTCTATAAGGAGGAACAGCATGCCAACATCGATGGAAAAGAGGTATTTCTTAGTTCTTAAGAAATGTAAGGTAAGAGTTTTCTCTTCATTCATTGTTTTGTGTTTGCACCACCCACTAAGTACTAACCCATCCTGCCCCCTCCCCTTTGCACTTGTTCTGCCACTTTCGTTTCAGAGCCACAGTCGTCGATGGATTCAGCACTGGAGTGCTAGGGCTGGCGGCGGTCTATAAGGAGGAACAGCATGCCAACATCGATGGAAAAGAGGTATTTCTTAGTTCTTAAGAAATGTAAGGTAAGAGTTTTCTCTTCATTCATTGTTTTGTGTTTGCACCACCCACTAAGTACTAACCCATCCTGCCCCCTCCCCTTTGCACTTGTTCTGCCACTTTCGTTTCAGAGCCACAGTCGTCGATGGATTCAGCACTGGAGTGCTAGGGCTGGCGGCGGTCTATAAGGAGGAACAGCATGCCAACATCGATGGAAAAGAGGTATTTCTTAGTTCTTAAGAAATGTAAGGTAAGAGTTTTCTCTTCATTCATTGTTTTGTGTTTGCACCACCCACTAAGTACTAACCCATCCTGCCCCCTCCCCTTTGCACTTGTTCTGCCACTTTCGTTTCAGAGCCACAGTCGTCGATGGATTCAGCGCTGGAGTGCTAGGGCTGGCAGCGGTCTATAAGGAGGAACAGCATGCCAACATCGATGGAAAAGAGGTATTTCTTAGTTCTTAAGAAATGTAAGGTGAGAGTTTTCCCTTCATTCATTGTTTTGTGTTTGCACCTCCTACTAAGTACTAACCCATCCTCCCCCCTTCCCCCCCCCCCCCCCCCCCTTTGCACTTGTTCTGCCACTTTCGTTTCAGAGCCACAGTCGTCAATGGATTCAGCGCTGGAGTGCTAGGGCTGGTGGCGGTCTATAAGGAGGAACAGCATGCCAACATCGATGGAAAAGAGGTATTTCTTAGTTCTTAAGAAATGTAAGGTGAGAGTTTTCCCTTCATTCATTGTTTTGTGTTTGCACCACCCACTAAGTACTAACCCATCCTCCCCCCCCCCTCCCCCCCCTTTGCACTTGTTCTGCCACTTTCGTTTCAGAGCCACAGTCGTCGATGGATTCAGCGCTGGAGTGCTAGGGCTGGCGGCGGTCTATAAGGAGGAACAGCATGCCAACATCGATGGAAAAGAGGTATTTCTTAGTTCTTAAGAAATGTAAGGTGAGAGTTTTCCCTTCATTCATTGTTTTGTGTTTGCACCTCCCACTAAGTACTAACCCATCCTCCCCCCTTCCCCTCCCCCCCCCCCTTCTTTGCACTTGTTCTGCCACTTTCGTTTCAGAGCCACAGTCGTCGATGGATTCAGCGCTGGAGTGCTAGGGCTGGCGGCGGTCTATAAGGAGGAACAGCATGCCAACATCGATGGAAAAGAGGTATTTCTTAGTTCTTAAGAAATGTAAGGTAAGAGTTTTTCCCTTCATTCATTGTTTTGTGTTTGCACCACCCACTAAGTTCTAAGTTTTTTTTATTGAGTTTTTTAAGGGGCTTGGATTGAGATAAGTTAATATTTTCTAATATTTTCACTTAACTAACATGACTTTTTACCTTGTTAGAACATTTCACATCTGAATATAATAAAAGCATGATTAAAATCTTCTTTTATCTGGAAATTATTGAAATTAGAATTTTTGGGACATGTTTAATTGATACATATCCTTGCACTGTAAGGTAGTAAGCTTTATCCTTAATGCTTAAGAAAAGTAGATTTTTTGTATTAATGAAAAATATTAAAACTAAAATCCAGAAATTTCGAACAGAAATGTGAGAAAGCAAAACCAACTCACCAGTATTGTCAGTACATGCTCAGTGACTGTCACTGAGCATGGACTGACAATACTGGTGAGTTGGTTTTGCTTTAATTCTTTGAATGAACAGAGAAATTTAAAGTGTTAAGAATGCAAGTGTGTCCAGGCCCCTTTAAGAAATGTTAGGTAAGAATATTCCCATCATTCACACCTGAGTCTTTTGTGTTTGCACCACCCACTAAGTACTAATCCATTATACTCCCTCTCCTTTTCATGTATTATTAACCACTTTGTTTTCAAAGTCTTAGTCGTTCATAGATTCAGTGCTGGAATGCTAGGAGTCCAGGGCTGGCTTTGGCTCTGTAAGGAGGAATAGTATGGAACAAGAAGAATCCTAGGACTTTGCATGATTCTGTCTTAGAAGGTCAATTTTTATTATTCTTCAAAGATTTTTGTTAATTATTTGATCTGAGGATATGTCTAATTGTCCACTCATTAGATAAGTTAATTTTTGCAACACCTTATTTTCCGAAGATACTATTTATACTTAGTGAAGCAAAAGAATTTTCATGAATTTCAGTTATTGCTATGTAAAATCTTCAAAAAAGACAAATACTTGTGAGAACAAAATTTTTATGATTAGATTGAAGGGCATGAGCTTGCATAATTACATTAATTAAGATAAAGTTAATTCTCACAAATGAAATTAAAAATCTATTGATTTACAGTAATGCGGTGAATGTTAAGTATATAAATTATCCAGAATGAAGAAAACTGTAGGCACCATATGTTTATATGTTCATAGTTTATAGCTATGCATGAGCAGTAATGATCTGTAATGGTCCTAACTCTAATTTTAGCAATTTTTTTATGTCGTGAGGGAATGCTCTGCTTGACAGTACACAGATCTTTTTCATGCAGTTTTGTGTCCTCACACAGAGCTGCCACTAGACTACAAACTCCTGGATAAGAGGAAGAACACAGCAAGAAAAGACCTTATCTCAAAGGATCTACACCTTTGGAAAACAGAACAGAAGTAAGTCTTTGGGCCCTCTATGCAGTCAGATATAGCCCTGTGTAAATTGATCCTTAGGATTTCTATAATAATTATTATTATACTAGAAGTAACTGTAAATCAACAACATCATTTAATTCTCTATAAATAAGTTTAAAATATCTCTTTGATGACTAAATTTTGTGCTTGAGGAATTTTTCTACATAGATACACAATAAAACAAATATTTTGTTGCAAGAAATATTTGCAAGTAAAATTAAGAAGTTAGCCAAATTCCTGGATATTTCTCGCATGCGAATAAAAAATGGTTTACAGCAATTCCTCATTGCAATGTAATATAGTATTTATACAAGTGTCCTTTTGTCAATAGGTTACTTTTGACCAGAGGGACTACCTGACCAGACCTTGATAAACTAGTGTGTAGTACGGTAAATAACAAGGTCAGTGAGTCTCATAGTAACAGAATTATAGTCGTAATTTACTGCCTTGCTTCAGTGTTAAAAAAGGTAGGGCTAAAACCTTGAAAATTAGTGCTATTTCTAAAGATCTTCTTTACCCCTGGACATCAAGCAGTCCAACTGTTGGCAATGATTATAATAAGCACCAAGTCCTCTACCAAAATTGTGAAATTCATGGCCCCAGGGTCAGGTGTTTTGGGGGGCTCTAATGATTGTATAGTAAAAATGCATAAATTCTTCTAAAATCTTTTTCTCTTTCACTGTACATTTAGCAGATAAACTTAAGGTAAATATTTTTGATAAGCAAGGATGACTCTTCCAAATTTATAAAGCTCACATAGTCCTGGGTCAGGGTATTTAGCAAGCATAGTGTATGATAGTGTGTATATAATGACGAGTAAAGGTGCCTCTTCCAAAATTGTGAATTTCTTGGCCCCCTGGGTCTAGGGCCTCTGGTGCTAAGGCAGGGCTCTATTAATTATACATGTACATGTATAGTGGAAATACATTATTTCTTTAAAAATCTTCTTCTCAGCTCCTGTTTATTAAGCAAACAACCACTAAGTGCATAGCAATGATAAGAAAGTGTGCCTGACTTGCAGAATTGTAATTGTAAATTGCAAGGGGTTCTGGTGTTGGGTGGGGCTATGGTAAATCTATAGTGAAAATGCATTATTTGTTGAAAATCGTCTTTGTGCATGGGCATCTAGGAGTACAAAGTTGTAATAAGCAGGGTATTTTAACCAGATTTTTGAAATTGTTGACCACTTGGTCAAATGTTCATGTGCTGGATAGGTAGATTAATCTGTATTCTACTGAGAGAAAGTACATGTATTCCCCTTTGTAATTCACCGATGATAAGTTATCACTGTAGTTAATCTAATACGCAAGTTTCGAGATTGTAACTCTCCTACGATAGAGGCACAAAAAGTATCCATATCGGCATGGAAGTGGGACAGGTTGTTAATGTATACAAATGTGCATAAATAAATGAAAGATGGCTGTGGCTTTTAAAATTCATTTAATGTTATAGAAAGATGATAATGCTAAGCAATGATCATTTTGATGGTTTTATAATTAGCTCTACTATACATATTTACAAAATTTACTTTCATTTAGGATACTAGAAAACGAAAGAACCATCATATAGTCTTCGTAAGAAAAATAATTCTTTGATTGTACAAACCTTTTTCTAAAAAGTTATTGGGCTCTTTGAAGTTATTACAGTGCGGAATCGTTATTACGATGTTCATTTTGTCACGGTAAAATATCGTAATACTGAGGGCAGCATAATAAAAGTTCCCAATAAAATCCAGTAAAACATCGTTTTGAAAGCTTGTTGTTGTATTAAGAGGTGTATTTTTCTCCTTTTGTTTCCTTCTTCTGTTCAAATTCTTCATTAAAACGCTATATACATATAATTTATTAATAACTTATCTTGAATAGATATCTTCATGATGATAATTTTCTTCTATTTCCTTCATTTTAAAAGAAAGGTGCACATTTTTTATAAAAACTTCGGCAATCTTCATTTATCTGCTGCCATTTCCATTTACTTTCGTTTCTGTCTAGATAATGCGTTCGTAAAATTTTCAATGTCTTTGTATCGTTACTACATAAACAACAACAATACATCACTGGGCGGTTTTGGGTGTTCAATGAGCTTAGAGCTACAGTGAACAACTGATGAAAGTGGGCAGTGTGATAGGCATATTCATGGACAGGATTTGAAAACACACAAGCTAAATGTCAAAATAAATTTGAATTTTTAAATTACTGAACAGAGTTCAATTAGCAGTTCAGCAATTATCGATTTGTATTTCTGCTGACACCTGTGAGGTAGTCCAAGCCACTATCCAAGCTGTTAAAATGTTATTGGAGTTCAAATTTTGCCAAAATTATGTTTGATACCCAAGCTGTCCATTCCGCACTTTAACTGCAAACGAAATTACACATTACGTATTTAACTTACATGCATACGATTAAATGTAACCTTTTATTTAATAAATTAATTTTACTTATTAACCATAGTGAAAAAAAAAACCTAACGGAGATAGATAAACTAGAGACTACATTTATAAATAAACAGTTTAATTGTTTAACAATGGCTTTGACACGTCTCCCTTTCTGCTGACCTCGCTAGAACAGTCAAGGTGTGTGCAGTCAAGCGTCACTAATCACCTAACGGCCCTGCAAGTTAACACTCTGTCAGAGCACAGGTGTTTCAATGTTTATTTAGCGTCTCCTTAAGTGTCTACCGTCGATCAACACTGAATAAACACGGAGTGAAAAAAAATTTTGGACAGAATTTTTACATCGTAATACCGAGTCCCGGCATTTAAGGACATCTTAATAAACAGTTCTATTTTGTATAAATTTGTTAAGAAATGGTTTTGTGCTTTGAATTTACAACGTAATAAGCGTTCTATCTTATAAAACCGTCACCGTAATAACGAGTCCGCACTGTATAAGGGAAAGAGTCATTCATAATGCCGACATACAGTGATCACATGCTTGTGTATTTATTAGAGATCAATATCTCTTCCCTCGTTTGATAAGTTCTTATCCACTGATATTTCTTTTGTTCCAATTTTTATTTTCTTTCCGATTTTTTGTTCGTAGAAAAAAAAGACGCCTTTACTTAAGTTTGGTAATTTTCGAGTTGAAGAGTGCATCCCGACAATCAGTTATAATGGTATATCGATGATGTATCACATATATAAATAATTGTCCCACCTGCCTGCTTACCCCCCCCCCCCCCCCCCCCCCCCCCCCATAACGAAAGAGTGCACCAAGGGAGATAATCTCGAAACTTGAGTATTGAAAGGTCAATTGAATAAGAGAATTATAAAAGAATTTTTATAATATATGATCCAAAAAGTACTTTCATCATTTTTAATGGTCAGGTAGAGGATGAGATTGGTTTTCAAATAGTGCTCAGGCACTACTGTTTTGTTTAGTCAAAATGGTGATAGTGACTTGGGGGCAAGTACAGGAGTACAAAGTGCAGGCAAATAAATAGATCTAATTTAAAAATTTTTACCGAGTACCAGACTGCTTCTTTTGATGATCCCTGACCATCCTTTTTCTATTGCTTGTGAGCTACATTGCTTCATGTTTTATTTTATACTATGGATTCTTTACAGTGTTTCATTCATAATATTCAGGTGAACTGTGAAGGCCCTTGTGCCTCTTGTTATTGAGTGTTCGTATCTATTACCCCTCTCACCCTTCCCCTGAAAAGTGGTTAAAAAAGACACTTGTATCTGACAGATTGAAGAGGAGACTTCCATGGATGGTGTTGATGACAGTGTTTCTACAAAGATGTGGAAAAGAGCATTTGCAGCCTTACAGGAATTGATGGAAACAGCTGGAAAAGACTGATGGACATTGACCCTCCAGGATGTGGAAATGTCTCAGCAGTTACAGCCAAACAGGAATTGGTGGAAACAACTGGAAAATGCCATGCTGATGGATGTTGACAGTGCTGGCCACAGCTAGGTTAAGGACGGCTGATATGAAGTAAGCATTCACATATTCCATATATAAAAGATTCGGTGTTGAAAAAAAATTTAATCTGTTTAATTTTTGTTGAATGGGAATCAATTACTAATATCAGCTAGTTGTCTTGTGATTTTTCGTAATTGGACGATAAAATTTGTCTTTTTCTGTTTTTACAATGAACCTCATATAATCCATTGCCTTCAACCTATTATTGTGGTGTTTTTATCTTTAAAGTAAAAAATGAATCAAGTTGAAAAGTGATGTCTGTGATTTCGTTTAAACCAGTCAATTGAAAGTGATACTGTGATTTTGTTAATAAAAATCAACAGATTGCACACACCAATTAATTATAAAGATGAATATACAAAGCTGTCAATAAATTATTGTGTCATTTATAAGCAAAATGGCTTGGGTCAATTGAAAAATAAATTGATAAATAAACTTGTTTTATTAATCTGAAATTATCGATAGATGAGTGAATACCTGGTTTAGAGAGGTGTGAAATTCAACCGACCTCGGAGTGATTAATTAGGGCCCCGCTCTGCGGGCGTCCTATAGTGATCAGTCTGTCCATCCGTCTGTCTATCCGAGATCTCTTGTCCGGAGCATATCTTCTCTCTCCTTGGCCCAATCTGGATCATACTTCACCCACAGAGTGTCTTTGGGTAAAGGGTGTGCAGTGACCTTGAACCATGTTTCTAGGTCTAAGGTTAAGGTCATAGCAGAATTATATGAAAAATCCTTGTCCGGAGCATATCTTCTCTCCCCTTGGTCCAATGTGGCTCATACTTCACTCACAGAGTGCCACTGGTCAATGGATGTGCAGTGACCTTGAATAAAGTTTCTAGGTCAAGGTCAAAAATAGCCTCTCCATTTAAATTCTTGTCTGGAGCATATTTTCTCTCTCCTTGGCCCAATCTGGCTCATACTTCACCCAAGGAGTTCCTTTGGGTAAAGGGTGTGCAGTGACCTTAAACCATGTTTCTAGGTTTAAGTCATAGCAGAATTATATGAGAAATCCTTGTCCAGAGCATATCTTCTCTCCCCTTGGTCCAATGTGGCTCATACTTAACTCACAGAGTGCCACTGGTCAATGCCACTGGTCAATGGATGTGCAGTGACCTTGAATGAAGTTTCTATTTCAAGGGACCACTTTTTGTCCCCTTTAGACTCAAACAACACATCCCTTAATAGTACACAAATGTTCCTCTTCAAAATAAATCCTTTTCAGCTACCTTACATTTTCATGTTCGTTGCTGAAAGCGGGGCCCTTTGAGGTGGCCAACATCTTAATGATATCTAGTTAGTGCTATTAGGGACAGCCATGCACCTGGCAAACAGTTATGTTAACGAACAGAAAATTGACCAGACTTCAACATAAGCCAGGTAAAAATAGTGCTTTGTGCCAAAAATTTTCTTCAAGTAATTTGGGTATTTGAAATTTCTGTGTTTGAGCTATCCGAGGTTTTTTATAATCATTTATTATAGAAATACAGCCGGGACCAAGGACTAACTTCGACATATCCGAGGTATTCGACATATCCGTGTTTGAGATACCAAAGTTTTCTTGTATATAGGGGTCACTGCTGAGTTTGGCCAAAGTGACATCACTTACAATATGACGTGTTTGTCACATGACAGCTACTAAGGTTGAAATTAGAAAATATATGTACAGCTACAAAAATTGTGAAAGTTTCAACAAGATATGGATACATTTTTATTTTGAAATTGACCATTTTCTTTGAAACAAATTTCTTAATGTGAAAAGTGCTGGGAGAAAATTTCTCATGCTTGGGAACTATGTTAATTTAGCCATCTTTCTATAAAATGCCAAAAAAAGGCATAGTATGCATTGAAGATATATAATAAATTGCAGAATGAAGTGACAACACACAACCAGCTCCCAACTCTTTTTAAAATAGTAGGAATAAAAGCTATATGTGATTAAAAGCTCAAAATTTATAATGAAGCAAATAACATTGAACTTTAGGATTAATGAGAGCTGGACTCTGTCATTTTTCTTAATACAGTCAAACATTGTTATCTCGAACTCGATAGAACCGAGGATAGGACCGAGAAAAACTTTGACATATTCACGTATTCAAGCTATCAGGGGTAAAAATACTTAAGAATTAGTGGCTAGGATTTTCAAATCACTTCGACATTTCCATGGTATTCGAGATATCAGTGTTCTATATACTGAAGTTCAATCATATGTTAATGTAGAGGTATGCTTACGTGTTCATAAAAGGTCTATACATGCCTTCTGAATACAGTTGGAAAATAAAAATTAATTTATTCAGGAAAATGTCTCTATCTTGATCATATGCTTGTTTCATATTAATTCCGATACTTATAAGCTACAGTAATTGCCTGATCCATGCCTACACCACAGAGAAACTATGTCAAACTAGTCAGTGATGTTATCTCAGTACAGGAGATCATTAGCTTTCATTCTATATTCAGTTAATGTTATTTAGGCAGGATAAGTTGCACACCAATTTATATTATTTTACATTATCTATGGAAAACAAAAATGAGAGTTAGGGAAAAGAACAATTATATTTATCACTTAGTTTTGTTTCAACTCTGAACAGGTGGATGTGGAATAAGGGAGTCCTTAATCTAGCTGCCCCTTCAAGAAATGTGGAAATGAGCAGATACTATCAGATTGGAATTGGTAGAAACAAGGGAAAAGACAATACTAAATGGATAAAATGCCCCTCCAAGGTGTGAAATTGAACAGCTACAGCCAAACAGGAATTGGTGGAAACAAGTGGAAAAGGAGACTGAAGGATGTCGACCATCCAAGATGTGGAAATAAGCAGCTATAGCCAAACAGGAATTGGTGGAAACAAGTGGAAAAGACAAGACTGATGGACGTTGACCCTGCAAGAAGTGCAATTGAGCAGCTACAGCAAGACAGGAATTGGTGGGCACAAGTGGAAAAAAAAGACTGATGGACGTTGACCTTCCCAAAAGTAAGACTTACCACAGTGGATAACTGTCACTGATCAGGTATGTGACATAATTAATAATCCAAGATATTTTTTGGGCAAAGTAAAGCAAAAAAATTTTTCTTAAGGTTATATGATATTTTGCTTAAATTTGTCTGTTCTTTTCTTAATTTCTGTTTATAATTACTTAGATGCTGAAGTATTTGAACTTTTATTTTATAGTGTGCTTTGAAGATTTGGTGACAGTACCCAGTAGGAGACTCAGATAAAGCCATGTGGACAGTGCTTGACATTATGAATGACAAGGATCCCTCAGGTATGGGAGTTAGTTACCCAAATATGCCATTCTGTAAGACTCTGTTCTTCAGTTTTACTTCGTCAGTCCTAATGGTTACCCTTTTTTTCTTACAGCCAAACATGAATTGGTGGAAACAAGTGGAAAAGACAAGACTAATGGATGTTGCCCCTCCAAGATGTGGAAATGAGCAGATACAGCCAGACAGGAATGGGTGGAAACAGGAGGAAAAGAAGATACTGATGGATGTCGACCCTCCAAGGTGTGGTATTGAGCAGCTACAGCCAAACAGGAATTGGTGGAAACAAATGGAAAAGGCAAGACTGATGGACGTTGACCCTCCAAGAAGTGGAATTGAACAGCTACAGCCAAACAGGAGTTGGTGGAAACCAGTGGAAAAGACAAGACTGATGGACGTTGACCCTCCAGGATGTGTAAATGAACAGCTACAGCCAAACAGGAATTGATCAAAACAAATGGAAATACCAAGACTGATGGATGTTGACCTTCCCAAAAGCAAGACTTACCACAGTGGATAACTGTCACTGATCAGGTATGTGACATAATTAATAATCCAAGATATTTTTTTTGACAAAGTACAGCAAAGGAAAATTTACTTAGGGTTATATAATATTTTGCTTAGATTTGTCTGACAGTGTTCTTTTCTTAATTTCTGTTTTATACTTACTCAGATGCTGAAGTATTTGAACTTCTATTTTATAGTGTGCTTTGAAGATGTGGTGACAGTACCCAGTAGGAGACTTAGATAAAGCCATGTGGATGTGCTTGACATTATGAATGACAAGGATCCCTCAGGTATGCAAATAAGTCACCCAAGTATGCCATTCTGTAAGACTCTGTTCTTCTGTTTTAATTCATCGGTCCTAATGGTTACCCTTTTTCTAACAGCCAAACAGGAATTGATGGAAACAAGTGGAAAAGATAAGACTAATGGATGTTGCCCCTCCAAGATGTGTAAATGAGCAGCTACAGCCAAACAGAAATTGATTGAAACAAATGGAAAAGTCAAGACTGATGGATGTTGACCATCCAAGATGTGGAAGGAGCAGCCAGACAGGAATTAGTGGAAACAAATGGAAAAGGCAAGACTGATGGATGATGACCTTCCCAACAGCAAGACTTACCACAGTGGATAACTGTCACTGATCAGGTATGTGACATAATTAATAATCCAAGATATTTTTTTTTTGACAAAGTAAAGCAAAAGAATATTTTCTTAAGGTTATATAATATTTCGCTTAAATTTGTCTGTTCTTTTATTTATTTCTGTTTATACCTACATAGATGCTGAAGTATTAACTTCTGTGTTATAGTGTGCTTTGATGACAGTACCCAGTAGGAGACTCAGATAAAGACATGTGGATGTGCTTGACATTATGAATGACAAGGATCCATCAGGTATGGAAATAAGTCACCCAAGTATGCCATTCTGTAAGACTCTGTTCTTCATTTTACTTCATTGATCCTATTGGTTAATTACCTTTTTTTATCATTCATTGACAGAAAATAAAAGTATTGAAGAGGCATATCCTTGTGATCGCATGTGGAGAAAGACAAAGATAGACGACCATGTAGAAAGCCAGATTTGCACACACAAGCACATCCAGTTTACTATGTTATAATCCAAAACAATTTTTTTTGAAACATTTGTTTTGGAAATGGGTGTCTGAGTTGTAAGAGGGTATGGGGTCGCCCACTCAGACACGTGGGTTTTCTCCGGGTGCTCCGGTTTCCTCCCACACTGACCCCATTCTTTTTCTCTAAGCCAATGAAATAATTATGTTATCTTTTAAAATATTCTAAAGGAAATATCTTTAATTATCTATTGTTTTGCTATAATTGTGATTAGTGTGTACAAATTCACTCAAGCTATTGTAATAAGATGGTTGATGGTACTAAGAATTTATTGTGTTATTGAATGTAAATAAGCATTTGTGATTCATGTGACTAATTCTGTGGTGAAAATACATGTAAATGTTTGTTAATTGAACATGTTTTAGTAAATGTTAAATGACAGAGAATGGTGAATTATGACAAGTTATTATGCTGTGAAAGTACATTGTCTATGTTAAATTAGTAATTAATGTTAATTTGTGCCAGTGAATGGTGAATTGTGAATAGTTCTGTAGTGAAAGTACACGTCAATGTTAAATTAGTAGTTAATGTTAATTTGTGACAGTGAATGGTGAATTGTGACTAGTTCTGCAGTGAAATTACATGTCAATGTTAAATTAGTAGTTACTGTTAATTTGTGACAGTGAATGGTGAATTGTGACTAGTTCTGCAGTGAAATTACATGTCAATGTTAAATTAGTAGTTAACGTTAAATTTTGACAGTGAATGATGATTGAGAGTAGATATGCAGTGAAATTACATGTTAATGTTACTTGTATTAGTAAATGTTAAATTGTGACAGAGAATGATTAATTTTGAATTGTGCATTGTAAGATTTTCTGATCTCATTAGCCAAAGTTTTGTGCAGAGATAAAAAAAATCTTAACCAAAAAAGGGGCAAACCAAAAAAAAAAAGAAAAAAAACAACTCAAAAGAAAAAAATGTAAAAAAAAAAAATGAAAAAGAAAGCAAAAAAAAAGCAAAAGAAAAGAAAAGAAAGAAGCCAAAAAAAGGAGCAAAACAATAGAAAAAAAGCACAAAACTTTTAATGCTGCCTGCTTGAAAAAAACATTGCTTCCATTTTTGCATTTTTTCAAGCAGAAGGTTCCAAGCCCTTAAAAGCAGAGGAGAAGTTTTTTGTGTTATTACACGGTGTATACAACTACTACACTGCTTGGCGTATCTGAGGACTTTTCCCCTCCCACTTTTTCGTACTTTTTTCCAAGAAAAGTCTCTTGCTGTTAATGATTGTTTTTTTTAAATTCAGTTTTTGATGTACAGTATGGTCAAACACTCCTATAAGGTTATACTTAAATTTTCTAGATATTATATAGGTCTAAGTATACATGTAGGCCGCAAAAATCCAAAAAGACTCTAGCTTTGGAAAGGTTTTTGAAGTACTGATAGTAAAAGTTCTTTCATTTGATTTAAAAATTAATTTCCTTTCCTTCGTATAACTTTCTTTTTGATTTTGTATAGTGATACCTTTTGAAGATCAGTGTTTCACATGGTGTTTGGGATATCGATGTTTTAATATATTTTTTAGGTCGATGCAGCCATATGTATGTTAATTTTCTCTTTCTTGATGTAAATGACTTTATTTTTCAAATAGCAGCTGGTGCATTATTTCCAGTTTATACTAGCCGGTGTGTAATACATGTACCAAGATTTTGATAGCAACCGTAACTTAAGAAGATCGTGTTTTGTCCAAAAATCTCTTTCAAAATACACTTTTTAAATAGTATTTGTTATATCTACGTATTATTATAGATTGACACATTTTTACATACCAAAATGAATACAATCTAACCTATATACTAAATGATGAAAAGAAGCATGAAAACTTGGAATGTATGGACTTGAGAATGGGTACAGGCTTTGGAAATTTAATATATCTAAATTTTTAGAGGGTTGTTCCACAAAATAATCTGGCATCATTTAAAGAAATTCCTTACTGAATGTTCCGTGCACAAGGATTTATCTGAAACTTAATCGATTTGGGTCACTTTTTGACAATTTTGCAACTTGTTCCAAGTGTCTCCAACATTTTTATTTCAGCTAGCAGCTGTACAAATTTCTAATAGAAACATTTAATGCTTTTTTTCTGATAGCAACTGTTTAGGTACTACACCGTATATTAGGTCATCCTAGTCACTAATGTGACCTTTGCTATTTTTCATCTATTGGTTATAAAAAAAACATTTAAACATTTTCAGCTTCCTCTCTGGAACTGAGTGAGTGAACCAATTTTGCCATATAGCATCTATGAGTGAATTAGAACAAAAATTTTATAATAATTCATGGCATCCCCCCTCCCCGAAACCATCAAAATTTATTTTTAAATGCAATTTTGAAAAGTCTTCTTTACTCCTGGCCCCAGGATCATGAAACAGACTTGGACTTAATTTTCAATTACCTGTAAAATATAATTGTTTATTGTTATTTTATTGAATCAATTTCTAACTTTGCAGATAACAACATTTTTGAAGACCCCGCTCTACTCCGGGGGTCATGATTTTAACAATTTAGAATCTACACTACCCAAGGATGCTTCCACATAAGTTTCAGCTTTTTAGGTCCAGTGGTTCTTGAGAAGATTTTTTAATGACCCCATCTTCTTTTTGTCTTTTCTTGATTATCTCCCCTTGTAATGGGGCTTGCCCCTCCATTTTAACAATTTAAACTCTCCTTTACCCACGGATGCTTTGTACCAAGTTAAATTTGGCCCAGTGGTTCTTGAGAAGAAATTGAAAATGTTAAAAGTTTACAGACAGACGGACAAAGGGTGATCAGAAAAGCTCACTTGAGCTTTCAGCTCAGGTGAGCTAAAAATTACATGAAGTTTGGATATTTATTAAGCCATATCTTTTGATTCATGCAAGACACAAGAGATAAAAAAAAAATTGTAGAGAAATTTGAAAAACTTTTGGATGGTTGCCAAGATGAAATTTATTACCCTTTGGAAATACATGTACCGGGGTAAATCTAGTCATATCTGTTTTATTTACTAATACAGCCATATCAAGATTGGAAGATTATTTCTATTTTCCAAACCCAAAAGTGTGTGAAAAAAATATAGTCTTATACACGTATTGTTTTAATAATAAAGCAATTTAAAATCAAATTATTTCTTTTTTTTCATTATTTTTCTAGGCCAAAAACATAACCTTTCATAAATAACAAGAAATAGCAAATGTTAACAATTTTATACAATACAAAATAAAGAAAACATATATTTTTGGCACAAAAATACCCTAAACAGGTCAATTACTTGTTAATGATTTCTACAAAAAAAATGTAACTTACCACATCATTTAATTTGCATTACACAATAAATAATCAATATACATGACTGATGTTAAGATACTCATCAATGTAAATACATGTAATTACTGTGTGAAATGCTGAAGCAGTATTAAATTTGTTAGAGGTTTATTTTACAAAATAGTATACCTATCAATGTATAAAATATACAAAAACTACTTCACAAATTCATTGTAAACTCATTTTAATATTTATGCAGGACATGTACATGTTCAACAAGATGTGTTTGTGAAACACTGATGCCCCCGTATGGCAGCTTATGGCGAAGGTTAAAATTTCTCAAATGCAAGTCAAAATGTTGGTACCCAAAGAAAGGTCTTGTCTTGAAGAATATACCTAAAATTTGAAAGCCCTAGCTGCAACTGTTCAAAAGTTATGGCGAAGGTTAAAGTTTTTTAAAAGTAAGTAAAACGTCAAGGTCAAGGTCAAAGTTGTTGGTATCCAAAGGAAGGTCTTGTCACAAGGATTACATATGTGAAGTATGAAAGCCCTAGCACCAACCATTCAAAAGTTATGGCCAAGGTTAAAGTTTTTCAAAAGTAGGTCAAACTTCTATGTCAAGGTCAAAGGGTCAAAGTGGTTGGTATCCAAAAAAAGGTCTTGTCACAAGGATTACATATGTGAAACATGAAAGCCCTAGCTTAAACCATTCAAAAGTTATGGCCAAGGTTCAAGTTTTTCAAAAGTAGGTCAAAGACCTAGGGGTCAAAGGGTCAAAGAGGTTGATATCCAGAGGAAGGTCTTGTCACAAGGAATATACATGTGAAGTTTAAATCCCAAGCTCCAACTGTTCAAAAGTTATGGCCAAGGTTAAAGTTTTTCAAAAGCAGGTCAAACTCCTAGGTCAAGGTCAAAGATGTTGGTATCCAAAGGAAGGCCTTGTCACAAAGAATACACATGTGAAGTTTGAAACCACAAGCACCAACTGTTCAGAAGTTATGGCAAAGGTTAAAGTCTCATAAAATTTTGCAAAAGTGGGTCAAACTCCAAGGTCAAGGTCAAAAGGTCAAATATGATGGTACCCAAAGAAAGGTCTTGTCACAAGGAATACACATGTGAAATATGAAAGTCATAGCTCCAACCAATCAAAAGTTATGACAAGGTTAAAGTTGACAACAGACAGACAGACAAACAGATAAACAGACAGACAGGACAAAAACAACATACCCCCGGGATCTTTCGATCCGGGGGCATAAAAATGTAGTGCTATTGTTCATCAAGAACTAGTGCTCTCCAATCATTGATGAAGTGCAAAAATAAGGTAATATTTACATCCATTGAATATTTTTTTTAATTTCTAAGGAAAACCATTGCCGTTTATCAGTTCATGAACAACACTAGGCATATCACCTGTACAGATTTCTTGATCAGTGGCTGTTCCATCAATGAAACATACTATGACGTACATATCAATAATACAATAATTAATCTTTTTAATCCTACTTTAAATGGTTATTTAAACAGATATAAATATAAACAATAAAATGTCTTTCTTTGGTTGTTAGTACGGGAATTAACGTCGCAGCTATTGCAGAAAAAAATTACATAACCCGCTTACGCGGGTTATGTATTTTTTCTGCAACAGCTGCGACATTAATTCCCGTACTAACAACCAAAGAAAGCATTTTATTGTTTAAATAAATGTTGCAATGATCACAAGTTAACAAAGTAATAACCTTAAAGGGCCAAAAAACACACATACATGTGTATTTGATATGAAAAAAATGCACCAATTTTAAATGTGTAGTTATTAATGTCTAAACTTTAAAAAAAAGTGTGTTATTTTCTAAAAGGGACTTGCATAATTAAAGAAAATACATTTATGTACAAATAACATACAACTATTAACAACACAAGTTAAAAAAAATTTTGTAAAGTAATAAATCCCCTTAAAATAATTACATGTAGACAAGTAAGCATATCAATATCAATAAAACAAATACACATAATCCAATGCAATATACAAATAATAATAATAATAATAATAATCTTGCAAAAAATCCAAGAAAAATCCATACTACATGTATATCATTATCACAGAGAATTTGACAAGAGTATAATTGATTGTTAGATTGTGATATCACAGATGAATTACACGTTACAAGACAAAATGAACTGATACACCATATGTATAAATATGTTACCGTGAAATCATTTTAATTTTAGGGGTTCATTGGCAATCAAAATTTTACTGGTTGATGGGGATGTAATTTAATGGGATAACACTTAAAATTATATACAGAAAATTTAATGAACCAATATGTTGACAAAGTTATGGTCATGGGAATGCAAATTTGTGGGTAAGAGAGACCCATTAAAATGCATGAACATTGGTCCTAACCACAAGTAAGGATGATTCCACAGTATCATCCTCGCAAGCCAGGGGACCTGCGTCAACACATTGCGTTGGACCCCTGGCATATTTCATTCAATATTTGTGGGTTGACTGTCACTGACAGGCGACGTCTTCGGAAAAATTACAAATCTTGATTGTTTTTCTAATCTCTCAACCAATCACATCAAGCCATTCTATGATAAACAACTTGTAACATGTGCATTTGAGGTGTCAACCGAATCCTTATCTAACTATTTATTAAAGCTTTAATTTGATTGGTGCTTCTCAATGAGAGAAGCAAGCCCACGAATATTGAATGAAATATGCCAGGGGTCCAACGGCAACATGTTGACTCAGGACCCCTGGCTTGTGAGGATGCCACAGTATATACTGGTATAAAACATTAAATTATATTAAATTTAAAAAAACATACCTTAATTAATCAGGCATGTAGTATTGGGGGGGGGGTGCCCCATCTCCCTCTTTTTTTTCTAAACATTACTTTTTACTATTGAAAACATTCATTGAAAGGCTGGTTGCCCCCCCCCCCCCCCAACACACACACTTTTTGTTTTATTGTAGTGTAGTTAAAACATCCTGGTAATTTGGTAATGTATTAATAAAATTTGGTTGGAACTTACCATTCCTTCCCTCACACCCAGTGGGATTTTTGATTTTTTTTCAGCTGGCCCCCAACTTTCAAAAACGATACTACATATCTTTTAATAAAGGTACATGTAAACCATACCCTGATTAATTGATACCCTTTTATCCATGATTTTTGATAAATTTAGCCTAACATTGTACAGTATGTTTTTTAAGTAAATAATATGTACCCTAAACAAAACTACTCATACATTTAGCAAAATAATCAATGGAATACATTGTACATTGTCAAACATTTCTCTAATCATAAAATCTGGCAGACTTTGGTGCTCGACTTTGGCTCTGAACCTTTAGATGTAGGCTGTGTTCTCGATTTTGTAGGTGTGGATTGCTCCTTCTGATTGGTTGGTTTGGAAGAAGTTGGTTTGCTGGATTCCTTTTGATTGGACAGTTTTCCTGATGCTTTCTGGGTTGGTCCAGCTGTAGACATGGGGCCACTGCTGAAGTTAATGACAGGTATTGGCACCACCATCTCTATCTTAGGTGCTGCATTATCCTCCTTTGAAAAGATAGATCTCATCATTTACACATGTGCACAAAAAAATCAATCAAGGTTCACTGACCCTCTGATAAGAGAGATAACTCCACTGAAATTAATGACTATTATTCTCTTAAAAACATAGGTAATCAGAGATTACAGAGCTCACCTCAACGAATGTTGTCTTTAAATAAGGCAAAGTCCCACACTAAACTAATAATCTAGTTGTGTGCATCCCTAGATGCAACACTTATGCAATTTTGGTCTGATAGGGCTTGCAGTTACTTGGGATTGGACTTATCTAAAAATTTTAAACTAGTCACTCATCCAGAAAATGTAGGTCAGATCCAGCATCCAAAGCAAGTCTGGTAGTGTGCATCCTTAGATGCATCATCCATGCAAGTTTGGTCAATATAGGGCTAGCCTTATAGTTACTTGGAAATGAGATCTGCTTCAAAAACTTTAACCTGGTCACTCATCTGGAAAATATAGATCAGATCTAGCATCCGAAGCAAGTCCAGTAGTGTGAATCCTTAGATGTATCATTCATGCAAGTTTGGTCAATATAGGGCTTATAGTTACTTGGAAATGAGATCTGCTCCAAAAACTTTAACCTCTCAAAAAACTCTAACCTGTTCCAAAAACATTAACCTGGTCATTCTTTAGCTGAAATTGCAGCATCTGAAATCTTGACTGGTACAATGAAACACACTAGAAGCATTCCCCATGCACCTCTGATTAATATAGGGCACAGAAGTACTTGAAAAGAAATCTGCTCCAAAAACTTTAACATGGGACACCAAAGCCGAGGGTATTATATTACAAAAGCTCCCCCAACTTCATTGAAGTGAGCTAAAAATTTTAAGTTAAAAGGCAATATCTCTGTCAAATTTGGCACCTCAGAGGCTCAAAGTACCAGGTATTTGTACACAAATAAGACATAATTCAGATTTCTTTTGAAAAACCATTATTATAAAAACAAAATTTTAAATGGGTGAACGGAGGATGAACCTTAGATAATAATCAATTTTAGTAATAAATGTATATTATTATAACACTTATTACAGTAACTTGATCCGAAGAGCCATATCACATCAAGTTGACAGGCGTGGATCATCAGATCAAACGAGACGCTTTGCATCTCGTTTGATCTGATGATCCGCGCCTGTCAACTTGACGTGATACGGCTCTTTGGATCAAGTTACTGTTACAATGATAAATTTATCATATACCCCTTTATAACTAGCAAAATATAATAAAAGGAAACTTTTTGGATCAAACACATAACTTTTATCTATTAAACAAACCATTTAGTCAAGGAACTTTTTGTTGCGCGAGAATAAAAACTTCATTTATCTGTGTACTATGTCATCAGTTTCAGAAAGGGGTGATATGGATTCAGAAAATCACAGTGTGGTGATCTGGAACGTAGGATCACACTGTCACGTGATAGCATAAAGTCATCAGTAAAACTGAGTGACAAAAATTTGAGTATATAATAAAAGAATAGAAAGGCCCTTTTTTCAATCAGACACAATGAAATGTTTAATTCACACATGACCAAAAATCTTAAATCATGCTGAGCAGCATACTTGGAAACAAAATTTACAAACCTGCAAGACATAATCACAAATGTACTTCACTAGTTTTTTAAAGTCCATAGTGTCTTGATCAAAGTGAAACACAGCATCATTAAACTTGACCAAGAATTTACTGTGAGACTTGAAGTTTCCGGCTGGTGGCCATTTCATTTCCTCCAGTAGTACAGGTACCAACTTCTTATCTGAGGTACATTGAAAACACACTATACTTTTATACTGATACAACAAATATAAAATGGACATCTAATAATTGCCCTCACCTGTGTAGGAACCATATAGTAATATTTATTAAATCTTGTCCTACCTAGACAAAGTGTGCAATATCATATTTTTAATTTAAGTTACAGTTGTCATATAATTATCTCAGTTTCATTATAATACACTGTATGAGAAAGCTTAAATCAGCTCTTCTAATTTTACTTTTAAGAAAATGATAGTAGTAGTGTAGATGCTTTCTTGTGATACATACAGCTTTTTAATACCTTTTTCTCTAAAGAAAATTTCAAAATCTCACGAAGAGGTCATACTAATAGTGTTGTCAGTTACTGTAGATTAGTCAGTTACTGTAGATTACTGTAGATTAGTCAGTTACTGTAGATTAGTCAGTTACTGTAGATAACAAAATTGTCACAACACCTTATTTTCATGAGAAAGTTACCCGGTGCATGTACATGTATTATTACCAGTATAAGTGAATTTTGACAAATTCTGGTAATTGTTGTATATAATTTTTGATAATAAAACAATAAATGCAAGAATGAAATTTTCATGAGCAGATGGTCTCTTTTAATTATGCAAAAACAAAGTTTTCATGAATAAAAAGTGATTGAAAAAAGAAAGATGATACCAGTAATGTATGAAATAACAGTGCCAGTTTTGGTATTGTATTATACTTCATGCTTAATTGATATTGTTTTGGAAACAATGTAGGGTGATCACGATACTCACTTTCTGATACTAAACTCTGGCACTCTAAGTTCTGCTCCAAGTCTTTGAGTGAATTTTTGGAGACACACATCAGTACAATGTCACATTCCTTAATTTTCTGTCGCTTTGCAGCTGGGGTGGCATTCCATGCTGAGGTCTCCACTAACAGGCCGCTAGATGTCAGTCTATACAAATCAGAGTTATTTATTACCATAGTAGAATCATAATAAAACCTCGCTGTCACATACTTATATACTACATATAAGTTATAGGCCATATTTTTTTTTCCCCAATCAATGACATAGACTTTTTTCATGAAAAAATTCCAATTGTTTAAAATCTAACAATCATTATGAAAATGAAGAAGAAATTAACAACACTAGAAGATGTGCACTTACTCAGTGAAAACAGTGTTAGCTTTGGCTCCATCTTTATTTGTGTGAGATACGTACACATACATAGGACGGTCTCTTATACGCGGGGTACCTGTTTTTGTACCTGTCAAAGTATACAAGCAGATAAAAAGGCAAATGTCTTAATACCACAAGAAGTATCCAAATAATGTAACCACATAAAAAAAAATCAAATTAAGTTCTGATTTACGAAAGATACATATACATTCTGTTTTTATTCAGATTAAACTAGATATTGTTGAGATGGTGACTATCGCAAAGGGCCCTACTTCTTTTGTAAGGTATATTGGGATGAAATGGACTTGCAGAGGAATGTATCTGGAGCTTAATCTCGTCTCTTGATTAATAATATCTTTACCCATGGGCACTCTTTGGGTGAGGTATGAGCCAGATGGAGCCACAGGGAGAAAATATGCTCAGGAGAAGAATTTTAAACAGATCTGCTGTAACCTTGACCTTGAATGTATCAAACTGATTCAAGGTCACTGCACAATCATAACCATCAAGCACTGTATGGATAAAATACGAGTCAGATTGGGCCAAGAGGAGAGAAAATAACCCTCAGACAAGGATTTACTCAGAGATTTTTTTAACCTTGACCTTGGCTCTTAAATGAATTAGTTTAAGGTCAATATACACCCTCTCTACCCAAGGGCAATATCTGTGAGTGAAGTTTTAGCAAAAATTGGGCCAAGGGGAGAGAAAATTAGCTTAAAACAAGGATTTGATGTTTTTACTACATTGACCTTGGATTAAAAATATTGGTCAAGGTCATGCATGTCCACAACCTATGGACATTTTATACATGAAGTTTGAGGAAGATTGAGCCATGGTGAGAGAAAATAGGCTCCGGACAAGTATTTTACACAGTGATATTTTTTTTATTATATACCCAACAGTTTGTCCCTCAGTTTTACTATTGAATTTATGCAATCATGTGATGGTGTGATCTGATGTTCTGGATCACCACACTGTGATTTTCTGAATCCATATCACCCCTCTCTGAAACTGACGACATAGTACACAGATAAATGACATTTTTCTTCTAGCGCATGAAAAAGTTCCTTGACAAATGGTTTGTTTAATGTAAAAAAGTTATGTAATTGATCCAAAGTTTCCTTTTATTATATTTTGCTAGTTGTAAAGGGGTATATAATATATTTATCATTACAACAGTAACTTGATCCGAAGAGCCGTATCACGTCTCGTTGACAGGCGCGGATCATCAGATCAAACTCGACGCTTCGCGTCTCATTTGATCTGATGATCCGCGCCTGTTAACTTGATGTGATACGCCTCTTCCGATCAAGTTACTGTGATAATAATATATATTTACCTTTACCTTTGATCTATAGAATTGGTTTAATGTCACTGCACATCCTCTTTCCAAAAGCACACTGTGTGTGAAGGATAAGCAAGATTGGGCCAAGGGAGAAAAAATATGCTTGGACAAGCATTTAAGATAAAAATTGTTTATGACCTTGACCTATCATCCAAAAAATTGGTTCAAGGTCACTGCACACACTCTACACACAGACTCTCTATATGTGAAGTTTGAGCCAGGTAGGGTCAAGGGGAGAGAAAATATGCTCTGCACAAGGATTTTATGCAGACGTTATTTGACCTTGACTTTCGATCTAAAAAACTGATTCAAGATCACTGCACACCCTCTACCCATGAGCGCTCTATGATTTAAGTATGAGTGCATTTGAGCCATGGGGAGAGAAAATATGCTCTGGACAAGGATTTTACACAGAGGTTTTTTGACCAAGACTTTTGGTCTGGAAAATTGATTTAAAGTTATTGCACATCCTCTACCCATGGGCACTCTATGGGTGAAATTTGAGTCCAACTGGGCCAATGGGAGAGAAAATATGCTCTGGACAAATGAATTTGGATGGACAGATGGACAAACAGACTGATCACTTTCAGGCACCTGCAGAATATGGCCCTAAGGATTTTTTAAGCTGAAAAGCTATTCAAAAATGTTTTAACATACCGTAGGAATGGCCAAATGACTGTTGGGTGACATACATGGTCTTTTTGCGAGACAAAGTCTGGTACTCTTGCACTTTTCTTGGTTCGTCCTGGTAATTGTTGAACACAAAGGAGAGCTCCCTCTTGTTTTCAATGTCAGCAGGGGACTCTTTGTTAAAGTCGATTGACACTTTGTCTCCTAGAGTTGTAAAAAGTGAGATACTTTTCTAAGCATTTCTCTTCTTAAAAAAAAAAATTGAAGATATATCCTTGATTTCATCAATTATCTATGAATGTAAATAGTCAAAATGCAAATAACTTAAGCAATTATGTTTTAAATTGAAAGACTTGCCTTCAGATTCAAAGCACAATGCTACAAACAGTCCCGATGGGTTGATGCCAATCACTTCCTTATAGACAAATGTACCATTGACGAAGAATTTGACTAATGCCATCTGTAGTCTGTCTCCCTTATCAGGAAAGATAACTTGACATCCGACAATGTCACCAGCTTTCACATCCTCAGACCACTCAAAACTTTTCTCTGTTGTATATGCATGAAGCATCATTGTTTGATCATTTTTATGCAGCAAAACATTGTTCATGATCATTTTTAAACAAAATGGGAAAAAATTGTACTTAATAATGGCATGTTACTCAAAAAAAATTCTTTTTGGGTTTTAAGATTTTGTTCAGATATTTACCAATTGTTTACAAAATGTGTATATTAAATTTTATCAAAATAATAAAATTCATATAAACTTAATCAATAATCATTTTAGTATGTCTGATAGTAACTTTTAAAATAAATAACTTTTTTTCAGAAATCAGCAATTTATCTATTAGATTTGTTTTCATACAAGTAACTTGAATAATATTTGCCAAAGAAAGTCACAGTGGACATTTTGTATGATTTTGTAAAAATGTCATAAAATACATGTACCTCGTATATTGGATGATGTACATTAGTAGATTTCATTTCTTTTACCTACATTTATGTAATACATTTACGTAATGTGTAGGCTTTTCCTTTTTTTAAATTAATAGACACTGGATTTATGTTGTGAATATGTTATGTGGTATATGTCTACATGTACCAGTACCTACCCTGCCCACAGAGCACATGGCCTTTGTGTAGATATAGAGCAATATTCTGTATCCAATTGACCCTGTACCCCACCAGGGCATCAGTCGGGCATGAGGCAGAGCACACCCCCACCCCAGGAAAAGTTTTACTGGAACTCTCCTGTAAAGTGACTTCAAAGTAGGATTTTCCTAAAAGAAATAAGATTGCAAAATATCATATATGCAAATTGATCCTTGAATGACATTAGTGGTGGCCTGTTATGGCTAACCCATTTTTTGCCTTTTACATAAATTTTATCTACCCTTCACTATCATTATACATCTAAGTAGCAATACCAAGTTCATATACTGTACAAAAAACTTTGGGACAATCAATATAATAAAGTAATAAGCTTTAATTTACACCTAAAAACCTTCAAATTACAACTTACTACGAAGACCATGTTCATATGCTCTACAAAAGACTTCAGGAAAATTTATCATGAAGTAATTAACTTAATTAACAGCTAACAAACCTCCCTTCCTCAGGTTTTCTGATGATAGAGCACAAACTGGGAGGGACTGCACATCAGCAGTCACAGTAATAGTGTTACCCTCCACTAGCAGACCCTCATCAGGTAAAATCCAGGTGTGTAGTTCCTCCTGTGTACAGTGTTAAATGTACAATTTATCAAGAACATAATGAAGAGATTCCTATTTACAGGTAAATGTTCTATAACCATGTACAGTATATAAAGATACCAAGCATCATGACTTATAAAAAAGTAAAAATATGATAATTAAACTTGAAAAATATTAGCAATGCCCCCACCTCCCACCCCAGTAGATCATTCTTTTATACATTTCAAGAACAAAAGGATCATATTGATAGGATGTGATTTAAAACACAAAGCCACAAATGCATGCACTCTTTGAGTATATTTTTTTTTGTTACAATAGGTTTAAATAATTTTAGATATTAGAATCCATGCAGTTAATTCAAACATTCATATATGATTTTTAGTTCCTTCAGTGAATGTGTAGAGAGATTTATCAATAAAAATCATTAAATTTAACAAAATGAAAAAAAAAAATCATCCATTCAGAGCTCAATAAATGGCATTTTAGTATGTATTGATTGCCCCACAACAAAGTATGTCTTACTATATTGAAGTCCACCATCTCTCTTTCATTCCATTCCACTTCAAAACTGGCATTTTCTGTCATTGTAATGGCAGGGAAGATCTCTAGATGTGCTGAGCTCTCTATAATACAGCGACCAAACAGCTTCTTATTGAAAACCTCACCCTCAAAGAATAGCACCACTGCACTCTTGTCATAGGCTCTCCAAACCAGTGCAGAAATCATGGAGGTACCTGAAAATAAGAACCATGTGATTCTAAAACATTTTATATGTCATTATGTAAAGTGACCAACAAATGTACATATGTACAAAAAGGACAAACATTTTCAACTGCTTTTTAAAACTTTACATAATCATATTGGTTAAAGTGACATTTGGATAATGGTAGTTTAAATGTACCTGTACTGATGTTTTTGGTTTTGATGAGGTATTCTCTATGAGTAATGCTGTTATTGTCAAAACTTAACAAGCAATTTTCTTTGTCATCCCAGGAAGAACTGTATTCTATGAAACCCATTTGAACACTTCCTACAAAACAAATATTTTCACTTTGTATTAAATTAAATCAACTTTTAACCCATAAAAAAAATTCAACATAACTTAATCTCTTTAATTTTAGGAAAACAAAAAAAATGCATTTGTGGGATTTCATCCCCTTAACTCTCCATAGTGACCATGCACCTCAAATCCCATCAAATAAAATGTTCTATTTCCATCATTCAAATGTTTATTTGAGGACTGAAGTCTTAAAAGGTTATGAACTCATTCATTTTAAAAATAAAATTTAACAAGAAGTCTGTGAGTGAATGCTCACTAGTAATACCCCCCCGCTCTGATGTGAATATATACTCTCATGTTGACATCGAACTCATACAAAAATTAATCCCACCATGTGGCATGCCTAAACAAATATTGTACAAAAATTTCAAGCATCTGCTCTGAGTAGTTGTTGAGAAAACTGTGACGGAAATTTGGTACGGACAGATGCACAGATAAACAGGAAGTTGATTGATGCCTCTTGACAAAATAATGTTTGCAGCTATCTTTATATAGAAATATAAATAAAAGATAAAACCAACATACGCAGCTGACTAGTAGTTAATTGGAAGTAATCGCCTTGTATGAAGGCTCTCCTCAGGCACATAATGCCTCGGAGAATGTCGTCATCTTCCTCATGTTTTACTAAAGAAAAGTGAGCTCCTCTGTCATTTTCAAAGGAGTTAAACTTGATTCGGTTTGACATTTTGAAGTCAGTGAGTATATCCCTCTGTAAGTTGATTTGATTCTCCATATCAATGTCCAGTAAAGGAGGGTCTGCTGGGAATTTAACACTCAAGGAACTTCCTGTTCAATGATAAAATTGTTTCAGTGGTACAAAGATTTTTTTTCTTAAATATAAAACTTTTACTCTATATAGAGTTATTTTTGCCCTATCACTCTTGCAAACAATTTCATCCAGTTAAATTGCCCAGACACAGTTGTGTTAAAAAGAGATGACTGCCTTGCTTAAAGCCTTGTTTTGTATTAATCCATTCAAGTACACAAGAGGCAAAATAAAGGTTATATGTATTATATATACCAGTATACATATCCAGTTTACCTTTATGTACATAAATATTACGTGGTTTCTGCAATTGTATTTGATAAACAGTGTGTACAGTGCATACCTTTATCTAGGAATGATATTGTGGGATAGTACCCAGCCTCTGGTAGTATATCTCCTTGTACATGAATAACCTTTCCATTCTTTGTGGCATAGATATACACAGGAGTCTCATCAGGAAGTCTGGTGGACAACTTCTTGTCATCAATGACCAGGCCACACCCCATTCTGTCTCCATTTCCACATTTCCAACCATCATCATGTGCAATATACCCTGAAAGCAATTTTTTCAAAGTTAAAGTTACATGGGTATTTGCTCCAGATGGACAAAGATTTAAAACAGAGACCTGATTAGGCCTTGACCATATTATTACAAATATAGATCAAGGTCACTGTACATCTTCAATCCATGCCCATAGGTACACTTTGGGTGAAGTGTGAGCCAGATTTGGTCAAGGGGTGAGTAAATACCGGTATACCCCAAACAAGTAAAATCAGAGGGACAAGTGGACTGATGGATGGACAAATGGAATAACTGATCACTATAAGGTACCCAAAAGATCAAACTTGTAAAAATGCCTCACTATTAAATTTGAATAATTACATGAAACATCCTTTTCTGTACAGGACTTGGCAGTTTTGATGCCACTTATAATGTCTCATGCAAAAGCAGCTCGATTTTTTTATGAGATAAAGATAAAAGTCTTTAGTGTAGTTTAAAATGAAAAACTTAAAGTGTATATAGATTTTACAAAGTCTAAGTCAGCTCAGACCAGAGCAATGAAAAAAAAAACTATGTTGGAAGATCATCAAGATAAAAAAATAAATAATTTACCATCAAACATATTTTTCTTAATACAGCCCTCCTCCCCATGGTAGCCATATGTAGGTTTTCCATCCTCATCCCCCCATCCACATGCATAGAACATTCCAGTGGACAGGAAGGCACTTGTTAACCCAATGGCAGGGCAGGCTGATTTTTTATTCTGTATCTTGATTTCAAAATAACTGGAATCTAAATAAAATGTAATCATAATACATGTACTCATTCTTATTTGAACTACATATACTTGAATCTTGTATCATTTTCAGAATGTGCATGTATTTCTCTCTTTATTGTTGGTAAATCTATGGTAAAGATGCATTGTTTGTTGTTCTGATGAGCTGATTTCTAGTATCCCAGATTTCTTGTAGTATCTTCTTGTACTCTTTAACCTGAATATGTGCATTTACGCAAGAGATTTGGATTTGAATAGGCTTCTTTTATGTTTACCTTTACTTGTACATCAATTACCTACATACTCACATATATAGTCTTGTATAATACAATGTACTTATTTTTGTAAGCAACACTGGTCCATTGACAATTTTTTTGGAATTTTTTTGTTGTTGTAATGATCAGTGGCTTTGATCCTTGGACAGACTTTTTCCAGAATTACTTTCTGTCATTAGTCTTGGTGCTCAGACAAACTTTTTCTATTTTTTTTTTTTGTCCCTAGCTTTGACCCTTAAACAGACTTTTTCTAGACTTACTTTTAGTCAGAGGTCTTGGTCCTTGAGCAGTATAACAAGACTTTTTGCCTATGTTGTCTGTCTGCTCCATGACTTTTGTGTCATTCCTGGTGGTAATAGCAGCTCTTGGACAAATCCAGTTTTCTAAAGATTCCTGCAGAATCAAAGAAACATATGATATAATGTTAACAAAAGAAATATAAGTACGATCTGAATATTCAATGCAAAGAACCTGAAGAGGCTGATTTAAGAATTTAATTTATTTGGATTATTAAAAAAATTTACTTACAATGTCTATTTTGAATTCTCCTGGTTTTGGCCATTGGACATTTAGATGTGCTGGACCAAACTTGACTCCAATGGTAGCATACACATTGTCCTTTTCCATGTAACCCCAATGGCGATAAACAAGCTTCCCATTGGTGAAAAAATTGACCAGGCACTTGTCCTTGAAAAACTTCTCCACATAGCATACAACCTCATCACCTAATAATTTTTTAGAAGAATTTTGCAATGGCCTAACATAACCAGAAATACTGTAACCCGGGCCAGCTCATAAGAATTAAGATAAAGTACCTATTCTTTTATTATCACTACACTGTTTTACACTATATTCTTTTTTTCTCCCAGTAATCTTGACCTAATTGTGTGAATGACAAGATCATCAGCCCAATCTCTCAAGTATGTCAGCTTCCAAATTATTTCTCTTCTATAAAAAATGTAGTCAAACACAAATTTTACTATTTTTATGCAAGCGACCTTGAGTTTGCCAAGGTTACTCCCCCCTCATGTCATTAGCATTTCTTATAAAGTATAAGGTCCAACAGCAGAGACATAACACTTATTTATATTTCTGACAGCAGTTTCTCTGTTACAAAATGGCCAAACACAACTGTTACATTTTCTTGCCAGTGACTTTATATACTTGCTTAAACGACCTTGGATCAAGATTATACATATGTATTACATTCTCATATAAAAGAAATCTATCATTATGAAGGTAGAGTGTCCAATGTTCTCCACTTCAAAGTAAATCATTGGTTTAACATGATTGCATGGACAGACAAGATCATTTTTATATACCCCAAAACTTCTGTAATACAGTCATGTAGTTGTGTTATTATATGAATTTCTTCTGTTAGGAACTAAATGAAATCGATAACATTGTAAAGAATCATTTTTCTCTGCTTAATTTTAAACTAAGCCCCCTTCAAATCTTGTCCTCACATTTCATCTACAGTACTGTACAAGCAAGTAAGCACTCTTATTATAAAAGTAAAATGAATTTAGGTATTTCAGATTTTCTTTCTGATATTGAATAACTGATTGATTGATATTAATACTTGAATGTTTTCCATTCACAGTCCACTTACCCACACCAAATTTGACATGGGTGTTCTCCCCCACCCCCTGACTGACCACGCCCCCTGTGTCACTGACGTATCTCACTGACTTGTATCTATCCCACTCTGGAATCCCCGTCAAACAGCCTGGATTCAATCCAAACATTACAAAGGATCCTACAATTATTTTTTGTATGATTTTATGTTAATCAAATTCACATACCCAAATTGTCACCATAAACAAAAGAAAAAAAAATAGAATGTTTCACTAATTCACTTTTCTTTTTCTGGCAACTAATTGAAATAAAAATTTTCACTGATTTTCACAGTTCAATCAGCAATAACAAATTGAAGTCTATAGGCCAAATTTAAGTTTGATTTTTTTTAATTACCTTTACCTGACTACTGTATGAGAAAAAATACTGAAAAAAAAGTTTTGATTGATGTCTTTGGAGACAAGTCAGAACAATTTTATACTACAATACTACACTACATGTAATTATTTAATAGCAGTCATAAACCAGTGCTGAATCCTGGTATGTAATTAAAAGATATACCTTATGAGTCATAATCATTTACACAAAGCAAATGAATGCTAAAAAAGAAAAAAAGTTAAGATGGTGAAGAATTTCAAGTTTGAAGATACAATTAAGTAGATCAAAAAATTTGAATAATTAACATACACTGTACTATAAATAAAAATACCAAAAAAGCCATATTGATTTTTCACTGTGTACTCAAAAAGAGCTAATATTATACTCATAGAACGTTAAATCAAATAACTTACCTGGAGCCAGGTATTTGAGGTTCATTTTAAACCAGCGACATTTTTCTGTGAGGGGTTGTCCCACATACTGTACCAGGCTATTACTGATGGTAACCTTAACATCTAGACCTGCCCCAGTTCCAACTTCAATGTTACTTCCATCTTCACTGAGGTTAAAGTTTGGCCAGTAGACAAACTTTCTGACGGAAACATTGTCCTTTGACATCCTACTGAAATTTGAGAGTATATGGGAAAATAATTGTTAACAGACTCAGAACTATCGAATTGTAGATATATAATAGATATATCAAATTTAAGGAAGAGGAATAATAAGAGAGTATTATCATTAAAGTAAAATTTAAAGTCTTTACGAAATGGTTATACCTGTAAATACGTTAGTCACATAGCGCATGAAAAGAAGGACATTCGGGTGGCGTTGTTGACAACTTGTGTAATTACTAGATAAGTCGTTCTATTAATGTTTCTCTAATTTTACATGAAGAATTCAAATGACTTACAAATTATTTTTTTTATAACTTGGTAACTAATAACAATCGTTTTTGAGAAATGACCCATTGGAATTCTTTCTCTCGATAAATGTGTGGTTTTGTGCTCTTTACAGTAAACATCAAAGTACTGAAAATACTGGTAAGCGCTACGTAGTTTTCTGACAAATTCAGATTATAGCATAAATTTGCATAATTCAATATACAGTCTTTTCCGAATCACATTTTTATAACTTGATTGCAAATAATGTAATTAACAAGTTTATAATTGGTTTCTTGGTATTAACGGAAAGCCAGTTCTATGATAAAACAAATCTACGTGACGAAGCATATGGAGAAATGGTGTTCATTCTGCTCATTTGCATATCGGCCTTATTAGAGCTATAATGGCTGCAGATTCCATAAAGGTTCATACAGAGAAAATACAAAAAATAGCAAATTTTTATATACTTACCTTTTCGGCTAAAGTTGTTCCGCCGATGGTTTGATTTTTTTTTTAATATCTTCTACCGGAAATGAAAAGATTGTTGATACCAACCAAGTGATAGTTGCATAGCTTTTATTTATCACTCTCCATCGCAGAGTTGTCGTTCGTTACTCTCTCAGACACGTGAATGTATGAGCCGACGGTAGAGAGTGCTTTTTTGATTTGAAAATTCGAAACGAGAGTGTCTTATTTTATTGAAGGAAAGAGCGCAGATTTTTTGTTTTTATCATTTTTGATGATGAAATGTAAGTGTTTATTGAAAGTTGACAGAATTCTACCGCCGATTAATAGGTACAGGCTAGGGGAAAACCTATTTCTATAAAATACAAAAATACAGATGATTTATCTTTTCGTGAAGAGTTACGACCGCCTTTTTAATTTGTAAACAGCAATTTGTTGCATGAGTGTGACCTATATTTAAAAAAAAACGTATCATGTGTTGTCAACTGTTAATCACACAAAATTCTACTCATATAACTATGACGGAGACTTGAAAAAAAAAGAAAACGAAACGGACTTGCAGGTTTTAATATAAAAAATTAAAGAAATGGAATTTGGAGTTTATGCAGGATGTTATGAATATTAATGAGAAGTAAATCACGTGGGAGCAATCTCATGAATAAATTGCATACCATTTTTCCAAATGATGAGACTTTCTTCGATATAACGACAGGTAAAAGGCGGTCAGAAAACAAACTCACTATATTTAGTACACTACTTAACGATCAATCTATTAACAATCATTACTTAACAATATAATGTATTTTTTGTTTGCCAATACGCGGATAAACAGTTGCAGACAAAAATACATTACCCAAAGACAAAGAAAGAAAGACATTTTATTGTTTATAAAATCATTTATTCATAGTGGATAAAAAAAGCAAAATCTTGTATTATCGATTTATCTGTCACATTGATGGAAAGAGCCATGAATTCGATACAGTTTGACACTTATTTCAAAGAGATACTCCAGTCAATTTGATCCGACGTCGAACTAATTGCAAAAGATATTTTTTTTATGAAATCTAGCAAGTACAAAATATATGCAGTAAAAAATCTAAGAAGATCTACTGAGAAGAAAGCATGGTTTGCATGGGCATGATCTTATTACCTATGGGAATTACCTTAGAAAAGGAGCATAACTCTGTAAATCCACCCACTGCTTTGCTGAGGTATTCAAAAGAAAATTCCTTTTTCATGGAATCGTAATTTGATTTAAACATTTTTTTGATGCAGTTGAACAGATCATTATTCCACAGAGATAATTTGAACTTGAAATGGATGTTTTGAATTAAATTTAATTCATACTTTTTTTTTGTTAATTTTGAAATCTTATGGTAGCATTTTCTATTGAATAATGAATACAGAGTTTAGAAAAGACTAAAAATACATAAATTCCTTTTAGATTGATATTTAGTTATGCATTGATCATTACATAAATACTAAATATAATGAGAAAAAAGTCCATAAAGATTAAGAGACAAAATTTGATCTATGTTTTGATAACTTCTACCCTAAAATTTTATCATTATGAGACAAAGAAATGTAAAACACTCTGAAATGAGCCTAAACATCTGTTATAATTTTTGCTGAGTAAAGAAGTTTTAACTGCATCTATAAATGCCATTATATACAGTTTGTTTCACTTTTTCTTCAAAGTAGAAAAATGCACAAACATTTAAACCAAATTTTACTAAAATGACAAGAGTTATACCCCTTTCCTATAATAATTCTCACAGAAAAATTGCGTACCCCAAAACAATGCCCGATTTTGTTAGATTTTTATTACATTTCTTTTGTGCATTCTAGGGTTTATTTATAACAAAGGAAATTCTGTTGCAATTTGTTGTTTGATGATAGATTGAGTGAACTAAGATGACTTTAAGAAACAGGACCTAACTAGAGAGGAAAATGTTGATTAACAACAACCATTCAGTGCATGGATGTAAATATTGACGAATAATAGCAACACAGTCACTCAAACAGTTTTAGTATGGTCACCACTCCCGAAATTATCGGGAATCAGATGAATAAATCATCATAATAAATATTGATTCAGTAAAACAATGTCCCATACAAACCATTCATTGCTCAATCCTTTTTTTTTTTTATCTTAAGAAGCATTTCAAAAATACAGATGTGTACAATTTTTGAAGACTTTATCATAGAATACTGAATCACTGTTCAAAGCTTTTTCCCCCAGAGAGGCTTATTAAATCACAATCAGAGGACAAGAGTGATCAATAAATATCCGTATATACATCATGGTTGCACGTGCTTCTCGCAGGCTTCACTAATTTTAGGTTTATATAAAAATGTAGCATTTTATCGATATTTTATCGTTTTATTGTCATGTGTGACATGTGCATCTTGGGCACTTGTCCAATATCACCATGGGCATTCTTTCTCTGTCAATCAAGCCAAAAATATATGCAATGATTCTTGTCGGTACACACATTCAGTCGAGAGAATTCGTCTTTTTCTGCATGTTGATCTACAGAAAAATACATATCAAAGGCCCCAACATCATTTTGTGTATGGTAATAACCGGTTTATAATCCTCATACAAAAGAAATTTAGAATCTTGTTTCATGACAATATTATTTTATTTAATAACAGATATGTATCAAAAGTATAACAATAATCATAAATAAAATATAAATATATTCATGAATACATTTACATGTACATGTATCTATATATAACGGCTAATATATTCATGAAAACAATTGATTTGTATTCATGAATATGGATAAAAAATTTAAAAAAAATATTTGATTTTGGAATGGATGATCACAGTTCACGGTTAAAATGTCACATTCTTAGTCACTATTCTTGACGGTGGTTTGAGTCATTCACAACCTTGCTGAACAGTAAAAAGCAAAGTTTTCCAGGAAATATAATCACGTTGAATAGACACAATGGCCACCACATGCCTTCCGATAAAATTTGGTGTGCATCGTTGTTTTCTAGTTCCTATGTTATTAAACTGAAAGTAGAATTGTATAAAATGTTAAGAAATCTTTTTTTTTAAATAGAAACAACAAAAATGAAAGAGATACTAGTATATATATAGTTATTAGATATTATTTGTTTGTTGAATGATTGGAAAGATTTCCGATTAATCGCTAGATAATCCTCTGGTGGATGCATTTTGAAGTAAAATAAAATGTTGAATATTAAAGGATGGATTGTTTTTAAATGTGAGATTCGTGTAAAAAGCAGTCTACGAAGTTCAAAATCGATTAAAGTTTCAAGAAAGCTCCCAATTTGAAGAAATGGACGATTTCTTTTAAATTTGACTATGCTCTAGGTTCAAGCCTGCAACATTTAAAGTGCAAATTCCAGATAAGCATTTCAATGATAAACTAATATTAGTGCAAATATTACATAGATGTCATGAAAAAAAAAAACTTACAAATGCCACCTCCGGATCCGTACCAGGGTGCTCCACCAAAACCTCCACCGAATCCACTACCAAAGCCGCCACCAAATCTGTTGTAGTACGGACGGTCAAAGTAACCACCAAAAGATCTCCTTAGAAGAACTTCGTTAATGGCGTCCTGTCGTCTGTTTCTTTGCACATGCTTGTTTGCTAACCATCCGGCGACACCCCCGGCTGCTAGAGTTAGCAGTGTATTCAAATTATTATTGTTAGACTGAGAAGACACATGGTTTACTCCAAGGATAGAGAGAACAAAAATCAGAACCAAAGCTTTCTTCATTTTGTTGACGATGTTGATATTTCAGAGTGTATTATGCTTTTGAAGATTGTTTAGCTGTGGTGAAGGCATATATAGAGAAAATGGATGACCAAAGCGGAAATATTTTATGATAAACCTCTGTGTTGTATTGGCTAGGACTGGACAGTTTTGTGACCTAGGTTATGACCAATGCTGGTTGTGCATTGACAGTCATGTGACGTCACTCCCTCTAGGTGTCGAGATCAAGTAATCAATCGACATTATGCAATTGTATATGTTTTGTATTATTATTATGCCTACAAGTTATTCAGAATGTTTATTCACCCCTCAATCTTATACTGTTTACTTCCTGAGACGGGAAAAAACCTGTTTGATACACATTACTCTGAAGTTGTGAGCATTTTAAATGAAAAATAAGTGGTGAAAGAAAGTCTTGTCTCCAGTTAATTACAAGAACATTTAGAAAATGAAACAAAGTATTCTGGAACTTTTTTTTTAGATACAACAATCGCATAACGGGTGAACGAACTATGTATGTTAAGTTCGAGTCTATGCATATATTATGCAAATATAGTCCTTTTATGAGGCCGATAAATAGGTATGTTGACTTTACAGAAAAGCATATCAACCGAGCACAAAGTGCGAGATCGATATGCTTTTCTGTTAAGTCTATTTAACTATGAATTCATTGAATGAAAAATATACATTTGTTATACTGTGGATTCATCTATTTTTGTGAGAATCATCATAGTCGCTGTTTTGGCAATAATTCATGTTACTGATTTTCTAAAGGAATCAAATATGTGATTAAAATGCACACAATTCTAGCATACATATAACAGCTTTATATATATATATAGATATAGATATAGATATATATATATATATATATATATATATAAAATAGCTTTTTAACTTGACAATATTATAAAGGAATAATGGTCATTAATCCCAATGAGAGTTATTAATAGTAAATGAAATGTCCACATTATAAGAAATATATATTAATATATAGGCTCCATTACATCACAATGAAACTTCTTAATTTTACAGCTTGTACTAAAATTTCCTAGGTTATTGAGTTCTGTATTTTCCACACTAAGGTGAAGACACTGGGGTTTATATAATAAAACCGCTTAATATACTTTATTCTCAATTCAACATAAAATGGATATTTCAGAATAAAATGAAGACCATCTTCTAAATCAGTTTGCTCACAAAATTTACAAAAACCCCATTTCCTTAAAACATTATTGTGTCTGCCTTTTTCAATATTCAAAGAATGTTATCAAAGAGTAATCACTCTTATCAGAAAGTTGAAAAACCTTTTAAAACAACAATTGTGGGGAGTGTTTTGTTGAAGACGTAGTAAAGGACTGTTAGGAACAAACAGTTAGTAACATTTTGAGAAAGCAGCTGAAAAATACGGGGATATATATATATTATTATAACAGTAACTTGATCCGAAGAGCCGTATCACGTCAAGTTGACAGGTGCGGATCATCAGATCAAACGAGACGCGAAGCGTCGAGTTTGATCTGATGATCCGCGCCTGTCAACGAGACGTGATACGGCTCTTCGGATCAAGTTACTGTTATAATGATAAATTTATTATATACCCCTTAACAACTAGCAAAATATGATAAAAGAAAAAACTTTTTGGATCAATTACATAACTTTTATCCATTAAACAAACCATTTTGTCAAGGAACTTTTTGATGCGCGAGAATAAAAACGTCATTTATCTGTGTACTACGTCATCAGTTTCAGAGAGGGGTGATATGGATTCAGGAAACCACAGTGTGGTGATCCGGAACGTCGGATCACATCGTCTCGTGATTGCGTAAATTCAACAGTAAAACTGAGTGACAAACAGTTGGGTATATAATAAAACTCGAGTATCGTGCACGTGTGCAATGGATACATGTATTCACGTTTTAAATGCATGGATCCGTATCTCCTTGGACGTCAATCCCAATTTTCCGGACTAGTGAGCTACAGACCAGCAGCTAGTAATTTGATGTAATAGTTAAATGATCAAGGTAGCCCATCCTTATGGCCACCGTATTTAAACTACAGTACATGCATTTGAAATTGTTCCCTAACATGGAAATACATGTAACTATTACCTTTGTACATAGGCCTACTTCATGATGTATTTATGAAGTTTAATTTAGATTCATGTCTCCACTCAGACTGGATAATTACTAAAGATAATTGGAATCGAAATTCATTTGAAGAAATGTAGTTACGTGAATAGAATTTTTAAAACAAACTTCATCTTGAAAATTATTTGCTGAATTTACCAAAAGATTTAAGAATTATACTTAAAAAAAATACGGACATGTAAGCATTATTTGCCAATGGAAACAGGTAGATGGGATAATATTGATAGAAATTCAAGAATATGTACCATTTGTGACTATAAAAGTATTGGTGATGAATTCCATTATCTTATCATCTTATAAAATGCAAGTACTTTTCAAAAGACGGAAAAATATTTCTCCAAAATAGATATTGTAGAAATCCTAACATTTTCAAGTTGTGTATATATTGTGTATATATGTACCTCTTATACCAGTGATCTGGTTTGAGAGAATAAAGAATTTAATTGAATTGAATGAATTCTTTTATCTTTTTAGTATTTGTAACAGATAATACTATCGAATGAATTAATGGCACATTATTTCAAAAAAAAAAATAATAATAATTTACATGGTGATAGTAAACAGAAATTAGTTATGCTGTAAATTTTGTACTTCCAATTGTAAAGATATGATACACTTAGACATTTTTACTTGTCCAATTGTGTATATCAGACTAGACCATAATCATACTTGAAATCAGAGGCTACACTCAGGAATAACATGACCTCTTTCGTGATTCTAAAAAGAGATCCTTAAAGGAAAATCAACTGCCTTTCTGAGAACCAATAGTCAAGATATTTTTGAAAAAGATTCTATACGATATCTATGGTGGTCAAAATCTTTTGCTTATTTCCTTTATCGGATAGTAAAGGTCACTTCCAAAATTTATTCATTTATAGTTTGCATCTTCAGCATTTTGTAGATCACAAAGAGCATTCAAGGTATGACAACACGGTAGTTTACATCCATTAACTCAACATATTTGAAATTTGTCAATGTAGGACTTTTGCTTGCTATATGGAATTGTACCGCTTTATTGGTACACATGCATGCAGTAACCGAATCACGACTTTCTTGTCAAGTATCTATCTATTTTTGGTCAACATAGGACTTAGAGCCAAAAACATACTTTATTTGATTAATTTAGTTTCACAATTAGTGAATCTATGATTATCAGTTCTTAACTATGGTTAACGAATGCTAAGTATAGTCTACAAATGAAAATTTATGTTTATCAACGAAAACTGTTAATGCCACTTATTCACAGGCAGATACACTTGGATTATCATTCGTAAACTATAGTTTACAACCATAGTATTGCAGATTATTAGCTATGTTTACACTTCGATAAACTAGTTTATCAACTGTAAAACTATAACTTATTTTTGTGGATTTGACGTTTAACACAACTGGCTCTTAAAAACTTAATACATGATCAACTGATTTGCAAAGAACACTTGCATCATCAATTTAGTTTATAGATATGAATACCCAGAAGACACATCTCTGTAGATAGATATACGAGGGGTTATCAAAAAGTTCGTGGACTAGCGCCATAAGATTAAAACCGCTTTAGGTACATCAATGAATTTTTAAACATATAGTTAGCATCATCTTTTCTAATTATAGAATAAACCATAAATCATAAGTTTTATTTTTTAAATAATTTTTTTTTAATGTTTTTGTAAGCAATGGTATGTCCAGGCGGCGCAACCTCAAATATGACGTTTTTTTCTACCTGAGTGTAACTGAGAAAAACTCTTTTGATATGAGCATTTGTCATCAAAATATCCCGTTATTTCAGACATGTAATACCACACAATTGTTCTGTAAAATTTGCAATATTTACCCCATTCTGTACGTTCTATGAAATTTTATCAAAAATTTTATATGGAGTGTCCATAAAATTAAGGCTTGAAAATGACGTCAAAAAGGGGGAGGGGTTTCTTTTTCCAGCCAGAGTATTTGTTTTTAAATGCCCAAAAAGATTCAGAGAGATGAAAAATGCACAGTTAATTTCGATTTGTAGTCAGGGTGTCAAAAGTCAGTCACGTCGAAAAGTGACGTTGATCATGTGTGGTAGAATTTGAACATCAACAAATTAAGTATTCTGGCATAATCAAGTGACGATCTTTCCCTTTGTATAGATCCATTTACAATATTATATGCATTGAAAGCAGCTGTTCATGACATTATAAAGTCATATAAACAAGAGCAAGACGGGCTTAAGTCCTTACTTAACTCAAGGTAATCTCATCAAGATAAGTGTATGAGGTAGAGAGAGCGGACAATGAGAAACAATGACGTTTTCGGACGTCATGAAACTAAACGGCGACAGCGCCGGGAGATCATATAATGTTTTTTTTTATTTTAGAATAATTTGGAAAATTATCAACGTATCGAGCTAAAATTTTCAACATCTCTTAAACTTTTGCTGTTTTATGTTTCTTATAAATTTTGTTAACACAGACTACATAGTATTAATTTTATCGCATCAGTCCACGCACTTTTTGATAACCCCTCGTATGTCTTGTGTTTATTTTCGGATTTGTTTTGAGATTAAACCTGATCTAAACCTGCTTTATTTGATCATCTAAACACAAAATAAAGGTCACATACAGCATCTTAAACCTTATTTCTCGTCTCCACATGGAAACAGAATTGTTTTTGCTGCCAATTAAAACGTAGGAGAAAATCTTTGACAAGAAAGTCTAATTGACAATCGTGCACAGGAAAGAACATTCGAAAAAGTGATGGTATAATTACAATAGATTAAACTTTCTTAACTTGGCCATTTTATGCACATCCCTGTCATTCCAAAATCAAAGAACAATGCTATAGAGTATGTAAGAAAAGTAAACACATATGAGAATTTTATTTCACAAGCCTTTGTATATGTAAAATTTGTACAAGAGAGAAATGAGAAATCAAATCTTCGAGGAAATTCAAAACATTTTATTTAAGCACCAATAATTATATTTCATGGCTCGAACAATAAAATCCATTCGGGGAATAAGTAAGTATGAATGTAATCAGCACTGATACTCGACACAGTATATAATAAATAAATAATCTTGTACAGCAGTAGAAATATATGGATATGTAAATGGACACATTTTTGTGAATAAATGATTTCTCAGCAAGGGTATTTACTATCATCCATCTGTACAGAGATTGTTCACACTTTACACATTATTTGTGACATACTTAGTATTCATTCCGAATATACCGGTAGTAAAATCCACTATATCGGTAGCCAGCTTTACTAGGATTCATTTCTTGTCTACCCTGTAATACAACGAATAGATAAAACATTACCAAAAATGACAATGATAAAAAATATTAGCAAATCTTTATAATAGAGTCGAAACTGAAGTCCTAATACAGAAATTTTATGTTGACCATAAAGAATCGTGATTATATAGAAGGTTTGGCAATAAACAGCAAAATGTTCATAAATGTTTGTGCATACTAAAAAGATACCTAATTTAAAAAAAATGTTTAACTGGAAAAGTATTTTAACGAGAGAGAGAGAGAGAGAGAGAGAGAGAGAGAGAGAGAGATCTATAACTTACAGAATGGCCTCCTGTAATAGGGTCTCCACAGCGGGGGGTAAGGGTACCCGCCACCTATGGATCTGAATAATAAGTAATCATTAATTGCATCCTGTCTTCTATTTCTCCTTATGTAACTATTCAGTGCCCATCCGGCAGCCCCGCCCAGCAACACAGGACCCAACCAATTGTTGTTCGACTGTGAAATCACATGGTTAATACCCAGAATAGACAGTACAAGAACTAAGGCCAGAATCTTTCTCATCTTTGCCAAAGTTTGGGAGGAAATGATTTGTCCCTGTTTGTCCTGTATTTATAGGACGAAGGCGGAAACATTGGGGAATTTTGGTCATTATTTGATACATATTGGTTCTTTTAGTCAATTCATGACTGTTGACCGATCATTGTGACCACCGATACATAACACTGATCGCCAATGATCCATAAATACATTAATATTACGCCTTATTTTCCCTTTCCATCTTAATAATACAACACAATGGATATCATGTTTTTGAATGTTTGGAAACAGTCAATCATATAGTTATGACCAAATAGATCAAATCAAAAGAACATTGCAAAAAATACAGGTAACATCAAAAAGATGGATGAAATATACCATATCTTTACTAACTTTATGGTATATTACACTTTTTTTTATTTTATACGTTTATTAAATAAATAAACATGTATTTCAATAAAAAGATCATGAAAGCATGTGATGATATTTTTCACCCAGGTAGTATATTTCAGGAAGCGTATCAGTCGAATCCTTATGAAATTATAGATTTAACTACATGAAGTTACATGTAAACTTGCATTCAAACTAACTGTGCTGTATAACTGCAGTGTTACTCATTATTGTCTGCAGTTTATGATAATGATTAGGATATGAACTTGGAATTTCTTCTCTAGTGGGTCTGAAAGAGACATGATAGCTCATATATTATATTATAATATAGAGGAACGCTCTGTTTTGTTTTGTAAGTTCGAATATGTGTCTTAACTACCATTGCTAGTAACCAACGGGTTTTCAACTCATAAGTCATTACTTTTTTTCCTCTAAGGAAGTGTAAAAAGAAAACCCGTTGCATTGATTTTAAAATACATGTATAAGCGGTAGATCTTGTGTATCAGATCCAGTTGTAAACAGAACACACTCAAAATCTCAGATCATTTTGTTTCAATGTAGCGTTAGCTCCCCCCCCCCATTCCCAATATGGACATTTGTGGGGAAAAGTTACACCTGATTGTCTTTCAGAAGGTTGCATTGCATCACCGAAAAATTTGAAAATTGTTCGGTTATCGACGAATTACTTTCTTTCATTTCCGTAAGAATATTAGATATCATTGCCGAAAATTCAGTTCAGTGCCTAGATTTATATAAGTAATCCAAAGATCTTGTTTTTGAACATAATATAAACAGACAATAACATGTATCAGGATATCAATTTTCCTTAACACAAAACTGATGTTTAATATACTAGTATTTTTGATGAAAAAAGCTGATAACGAAAAGGGATCAAAAATGAAGTGTGAAGATAACGAACAGTGATCAATATCAAAGGTCCATTTATGAGCAGAGCTAACACTCTGAAAACAGAAGTGGGATCAGGTGTCATGGAGGAGTAAGCATTCTGTATTGATAGGTTACACCCGCCGTGTGCTCCTTGCCATGATCAGGTAGAACTGAAAAATCCATAGACAATTCTGCATGAAATACGTCAGTCAACATTCGACTTAACGACAGATTGTATTTGCAAACAAAGTCATTGAATTTGCAGAATTTTGACTTTAAACGAGACTGTTGATATTCTTGTATCATCAACTTATTTGTCAATAGCCTGCCTCCTTCGAGATATTGTTCGAACATGCTCTTGCGCATCGGATCAAGAGATGCCACATGCAGATGATATTGTTATTTAGTGACCATTTAACCATTTGAACGGAAAACCTATGAGATATTTACATTACCCTACTAACCTGACCTTCACAATTTTCAAAAATAAAAACAACGATTTCATTATGTTTGACGTACTTGTCATGACCTATTATTATATGTATAGTTAAATATGTAAATGGCAAATGGATGCGCCGATTACAGTTATATGGCAGTATAAACTTAGATGGGATAGATATAGAAATACAATCTGGATCTAAGGAGCTTGGACACCAATTTGACAGAGGGGAACAGGAGAGTTACCGTACTTTTACCCTAAAATTATCCGCAAGCAATTACTGCACGAAATAACCTGGTTTATCCTTATGAGATAAACCTTAGTATATTGCTACATGAGTAAGGGAGAACAGTTAAAGTCATCACATATATCATAAAAAGTTGTCTGTTTGCCATCAATGTCTATCAAAATACGAAACAGATGTCTCGGACTCTGCGGCGTCTTTTATTTCGAGTTTAGTGAGATATATCAGATCATTGTAGGAATGAAACTGAATGATAAAACATCGTCGATATACTAGTATCTAAAAGTCGAATTGAAGGCCATAGCAAGAGATTTCTTCTTTTAATGCAGGAGTTTTTGAATAAATTCTGCTTCAAATAGTCTGCATATAAGGAGACACAATTAACTCATAAATCTAGTAAAGAATATATCGTGCCCAGGATATATAAATCGTGAACAGGATAAAAAGCCGTGATCCCTCTGTAAAGATCAGGTAAACGTAGTAATTCGCAGTCAAATTGTTATAAAAGCAATGGCCTAATAACTAGTGGGAAATATATCAGTCAAAATGCGACCAAAAGATAGGTTGTGTTTGCAAACAAGTCATTATAGCGACCACAGAATTTTTAAAATGCTGAATTTAAATGAAAGTTGAAATCCCTGTAATATCAACTTATTTGTCAATAGCCTGTCTCAGCTAAAAGATAGTACTCAGAAGAATATTTCAAGTTGTGAATATACAACTAGTAAAATTATGTTCAATATAAACACTAATATATTCTCATCTGAAGCAGCATATTTGTTGTTTTATTCACAAATGTAACAGGGAGTAAAGAAGACTTTCATGAATAGAGCCTTTTATGAAATGTCGATCTGTGTTTATGTAAGATTTTTCAACTCTTCTGTAAAATATTTGGTTCTTTTTCAGTAAAAAGAAGTTGTGGACCTTAAAATAATTTTGCACTTCCAATTTATTGGGCTTGATTTTCGAATTCTTTAATAGACCTTGGTTCAGGACACACCTTCTGGACATCTTTATCATCTAACAAAATTTAAGATCTTCATTTTAGTTTTCTTTCAGAGATTAAGTTTAAGTCGCTGACAGACAAACGGAAGAAATACCAAAATGTTACAAACCCATGAGAGAGTAGTCTGACATTCCGCTTTGAATGCTGTATACTTTTCCTCGCTTTTAGAGCAAGAGAGCGCTTTAACATAGTTTTCATACTAATACGCTGTATTCATAATACAAAAGACGATCAATTTTTGCTGTTTAATATTTATTTATCGTAACAAAAAAAAAAAAACAACGATTCACTTCGATCTTTTTTGCTATTAGATTTATTTATTATAACATATACTATGCGTGATTAAAAAAAGGAATTGAACAATGTGCAAGTTAACAATCTGTATAAATATATATCTTTTTTTTACATGAGGTACACATAATAAATTATTCATCTACATCTACATTATTGAAATGGGACTATGACACTATTATAAGTACATGTTTTAGGAAATGATCTAAACTAAGTACTAATTCAAATAAGAAACTATTCCTTTCATTCTTACTAAATACATCCCTGAATATGATCACATATTCTTTAATGTATTTTTTTTTAAATTTGGCACGTAGGACATTTTCACAGTGCGGCATTCGTTTCCGCTTTCCTGCGTCGTGGGACAAGGAAACTGGGTGCAACTTTTCCGTTACTTGTTTGGCATTCTACCCTGAAAGTAGAGCAATATTTCAATTAAAACACAGACAATTAAATGCTAATTAAAAAAAATTGTTTACTGAACCGAGCTGCTAAATAGATGGAGATGTTTAATGTTTTTTCCATGGACACTTGTGTAATTCCTGATATAAATGTATGACAATTCGAAATTAAATCAGTAATTTTCTATCATGTGTTCTGTAAGGAAGTCTTTAGCAGTAAGAGAGAGAGAGAGGGAGAGAGGTTATACATTGTACAAATACTTACACATTCCAGTTCGTCCGTACACATGTCCTCTTGGGTGTCCAAACGCAGGTGGTCTGCCGAATCCACCGGGAAATCCACCAAATCTAGGATCCGGTAATCCGAAGGACCGAGCCAATAAAGCATCGTTTATGGCATCCTGTCTTCTGTTTTTCTCGACAAATTTGTTTATGCCCCAACCAGCTAGACCTCCAACCAACAAGGACCCTAGAAGATTAGAGTTGCTGTTTTGGGCAGATACATGTGTGAGTCCCACAATGGACAAAATAAGAACAGCAACAATTTTCAGTGACTTCATTGTAAGCTTTGGATGAGAACTGATGTTTTAAAATCAAGGACACTGTCTTTATATAGGACATATTTTTTTGCCAGGGAATTCCCCTTGATGCACTGTTCGTGTAAAAATTGCTGTTTGTTATGTAATTTTACGATCAATGCAATTTACTCATCCTAAACTGACCAGTGAAAACCGAATACTTGAGTCAGAGCGACATAGATAAAGTCGTGAGTCCTTGGATATTTTTGCAGTTGGTGCGTCATTCATTGACTGGAGTTGTTAAAAATTATTATGCTCACCATAATAAGTAATTTGTCAGATGTCTTGTAAGTTATAAATTATGACGTATAACTGTCGTGTCTGCTACCCACGTCACGCAGAATTGAAGCGTATCGTGTTATATAATAGGTAGGATGTGCAACACTAGATATGAACAGGTTTTCTGAGGGGAATGTAAATTTCCGGTGAGGTTTGGTATGTACATCTAGGAAAAGAGGCAAAGCTAGTTCCAGTCGTCACTTTTGATTGTTTAAGTCTAATTTTTAATTTCTACAACTAAAAATGAAAAAAGGAAGAAATTGTTTTGGAGTTATTGCATATGGAAGCATGAAAGCGGAAGTCTTATTAAATTTTGTCCCGTTCAATGATCTGTGAATATACGAAGAATATTTATATAATATTTTGAACTCTTAGGGGAAATTTAAGCTTTACAAAAAGTTGACATTAGTGCAAAAAGTATTTGTTGAGGAATCGAGAGTGTATCTGTGTTGTCACTGAAACACGCGAATCAATATTCAAAATCTAGGAAGCGCCAGATATTTCAATATTGGTTAAAAATTAGAAATTGACATACAATTCTGTTCTCGTGATTATACTAGTATGGTGAGGTTATGTAATCAAGGAGTGACGGAGAATAATGACACCTGGATTATCAGAATGAAATGTAGTTTTTGCTGACTTTTATAGCAGTAATTAGGAAGATTTTGCAAATTTTAATATAATTATATATAACTGTGCAATATTTTAAAGATATGTGGATCACCAAAATGCATGGTACATATTTTTTTTTTCTTTAGACTTCAGCAAACGTTAGCAAACAAAAAGTTTGCTAGGGTATATTACGGACAGATGATACAAACAAAACATGGATGTCTTGATTCATATGTATTTTTGAACCTATTTTGGTAGTAATTTAATTTCTAGTTATATAATTAAATTTATAAAATATATTTAGAAATTTATTATAAACTTTCTATGACGTTCAAAATTCTACCTTTCTGCAATCATACAATATAACCATTACTACTTTCGAAGACCAGGTATCTTCAAAGTAATAAAATTGTTTTGTAGTACATGTGCGTAATTTAGGGGAAAAAAAATCTTCTTTGATAACAAATTAGGATCAGAATTTAAAAGAAAACCATTGATATGTCTTGTCGGTAAATTATTCTGTTACTATATGCTATATATGCATCGTAAAGCTTTTCTTTTTACCTTTATTTACCCATATGATGGAGGTGCCTGTGCAGGAACTTTTGAAAATAAAGGTTGATTTTCAAAAATATTTTTATGCAGCCTAACTTTTATTATATTAACACATTGGTGCATGATGATATGCATGTACGCTATACGATATTTACTTTTCAATAAAAAAGTAGAACAAAATGTTTCTCAACGTGGATTTTTTTTTTTTTTGGTTGTGTACATATGTGAAGCTATTAAATAACAGGTAAAAATACCTATTACATTAGACTAATAACTCATTCACCGCAAATGAGTATATTTATACTGAGATGTGAAAGCACCAATCAGAAATCAGGACCCCTGTAAAGGACAGCCAATCAAACTTATAACTGATCGTTCGCACTGTTTCGATCATCGATCAATTCATTCATCTATTTTACGACTGTAAAAACACGCAATAGAAGTGTACTGGCTTCTCTCATAAAGTCCAAAAACCATGCCAACATAAAATATGTGTCAATGTCAAGTCTTATGGATATAAATATCTTGTCAATGCCCCCTAGTTACAAATTCACAATTACATTTGCATGTAAACTGCGTTTAAGGTTCATATTATTTACACGAATGGAACTCAGTGTATAGGAACATTTCCATACATTAACTGAGAACATCTTCAAATAAGTTGCAGCTATTGCTATTATAGTATCAGTTAATATTTTTATAAAAAGGTTTTTAATAATTGACATTTTTAAAATCATTTTTATCTCTCTCTCCCTCCTCTTCCTCTTTCCTATATCTCTCTCCTATACAAGATTGTCTGCTTTCACAACAAAACACTTCTATTAATGGCTGATTTTATTTTATTTATTTTATTTTTATTTTTATTTATTTATTTATTTTTTTTTTGCAGAAAAGTTACAAAGATCATGTTAACTTTAATTTAATGCATGCAATCACTTTTTTGCATGATATTAGCACTAAAGAATCACAATACTAAATATAAACATGAATCTCAACGCCAGTTGAAATCAGTTTGCTTCGGAATATACTTTTATTCGCTATTTTAGAAGGAAAGTGCCCAAATGGAATTTTCTACAAGTATGGCAATTTTCTTATAGAAAGAGATAGAGATTAAAAATTTTAAACGAATTTCTGGAAAGTTAAGTAAATCAAAGGGACAGTAAGTAAATCAAAGGGACAACCATTGTTGAAGATGAAATTTTTCTATGAATTATTGGAGTTATCTTTCTTATACAAGAATCACCCTTCCTTAAAATACTAATCTGTTTATCAATATCTCTCAGACAACGTTATGGATATGTCAAATGTATTTTATGATAAACTTTTCTTTCAAAGCAAATACTTTTAATGATTTGTTCCTTCAAAATTATGTACATTAAGCAAATTACATGTAGCATTTCATAGTTGAAAAGACAAGTACCTGTGTCTATAGATATTACAAATATTCGTCAATTCACTATTGATACAAATGTTATTATTCACATTGGAGATATATGCTTAACAACAATTACTATCCTTGAAGTGGCGAAGTTTGATATTTGTGCATTTATTAGGCATACACACCAATTCCGCTTAAAATTATTGCTTTGGTTGCGATAATTTAAATCAGAAATTCCAATGTTTGATAAAATTAATATCTTACTAATTCTTAATTCATATTGTGAAAACTGAATACATGAATATGGTTCAGAGATTAGTGCCTCTAAAACATCAAACCAACAGTTTGGGTATTAATTATTGTGATAAAATCATAATATTTACAGTATATCGAAGAGGGATAATAATTTATTTTTTTTATTTTTGAATGTACACTGTTTGCTCAAATTTAAATACATGGCTTCATATTAGCTTTAGTTGGACCCGTTTTAAAAGAAATAATGACTGTTATAATTTTAGGCCTTTCCAAGTTTTTTTTTCCCCTATGTTTAGCGTCCGCAGATGGATAAAAAACGCACCAAAATATCCACACATGCAACAATTGGTACAAATATTTGCGAAACAACTTATTCAGTTGAGATCGGTATCTCATTTTTAAATTCTTTTTGTAAGTTTTGTACCAAAGAATTTGATTTTAATACACATGTAAGTTTTTTCTCTAAATTGTTTACGATGTTAAGAAAATTCTCAAACGATATTGAGAAAATGTATAATGTAATTATTCTAATAATGTTTGTGTGTTTTAGTTTTGTGTTTCTCTCGGATAGATTTTAATTTTAGGGTGGACAGAGAAACAAGAGGCCCGAGGGCCTTAACGGTCACCTGAGTATAATACAACACTTTAATAGTGATCTATAGAAGTTTAAAACAAAATTAACTGACAGGTGAAGCTATTTTGCCCAAGAATTTAAAAAATCTGGTAAAATACCTTGATCTTCTTGGGATCGTACTTGGTTTTCAAAAGTCTTATAGGAATGACAATGAATGCAAAATATACAAATACAATGGACACTTTCCTAGTGTGTAAGATACTCAATATATACAGATATGTGTTTGTTACTTGTCCGGTGCTACAATTAAGTACACAAAGAGAGACTTGGTTATACAATTTGCCACTATTCACTTACTACAACATGTCCCCTAGTCATCCTGTCTCTCTGATTGCTTGTTCACTTTGATAAAGTATAATACAACTTTTTACCAACTCTTGCCAACAAACTCTGATCTCATGAATTTACCTGACAGAAGATTTTCAAAGAATTAAAGCAATTTCACTATATAACCATTAGAGCCCGCCCCATCATCAGAACCTCTGACCCAGGGGCCATCAAATTCACATTTTTGTAAGAGGCATCCTTCCTCATCATAACTATGTACTTAATTCATTAGCTTACTACCCAGGAGCAGAGGAGAAGATTTTCAAAGAATTAATGCATTTTCACTATATAATCATTACAGCCCCGCCCTAACACCAGAACCCTGAACCCAGGGGCTATAAAATTCACTAATTTGGAATAGACGCCCTTCTTCATCATAACTATGCATTTAGTTTGTTTCCTGAATACCCAGGAGCAGAGGAGATTTTTTTTTAAAAAGAAATAATGCACTATATATTCAACAGAGCCCTGCCCTAACACCAGAACCGGGACCATGAATTTCACAATTTTGGTAGAGAGCTCAGTGCTTATTACAACCATGACAACAGTTTGATTGCTTGATTTACATGAGTAAAGAAGAAGATTTTTAAAGAATGCATCAATTTGATGGTTTTAGCCCCACCCCTCAGGCTCCAGGGGGGCAGAGGCCATGAATTTCACAATTTTTACTCCCCTTCACCCATAGATGCTATAAGCTTAAATTGGTTGAAATTGGTTGTGTGGTTCCAGAAAAGAAGCTGAAAATGTTAAAATGTTATAACGCACATCGCACGACGAAGGACGAAAACAGATAGCAATAGGTCACCTAAGTTGGTAGATGGCTAGTTTTTGAAGCTTGCCGATTACATGTAAGGACGAGTGAGCAAGGATTTTTCTCGACCTTTCTAGCAGAGAACTGTGAATACACACGTCACAAAGTTGGTTTACTTTCCTTGACCAGTGACATATTCTTGCACCCTTCTGGCGGAATCATTTAACCAACCGAACGGTTTGTTGATTGTATGTTGTTCTCCGCGTACAACTCGGATACATCTACCATCCATTCTCAAATCAACAGGGGGTAGAAAGACCTCTGATCAGCAAAAAACATTCAATTATCGAAAATGTTGTATTCCCTTAGCTCGGGGTGCGATGGAGGGGGGGGGGGTGTTGGGGTTGGGGATTTGGGGTGGAGATAAAGAGCATATTATTATAGAAGCATCCTCAGGTAGTGCGTATTCATATTTGTTCAAAACTAGGGTGGGGCAACAATGAGCGATCAGAGTTTTACATAGGAATATACAGGGAAAAAATCTTTAAAATTCTTCTGCTCAAAAACAGAAAAGCCATGATTAGTTATATTGATACGGAAGCATCCTGAGGTAGTGTAAATTTAAGTCCCCCCCCCCTCCCGGTAAACTTAATACTGAACTGATTTCTGCTTTTTACTAGCCAATGTGCTCAGGCGAGCGATGTGGCCCATGGGCCTCTTGTTAGTCATTTCTTTTTTCGGTTTGGATGCATGGGTTTTCCCACTAATTTGCACATAGCTTCTACAACGTGATGGTGTCGTACATTTCATTAATAAATTTCCAATAGTGATCGATTCCGACTGTTCGTAAAAATGAAAGCATTCCGTAATTTAATTGCCGTGACTTTGACAAGTAACAAGGAAAGATGGAATGTTTGGTAAAGAATTTTACTATATAACAAGATCTTTTGGTAAAATAAAAATAATAAATGACATGTTCAAATCAAGAAGAGGACAAATGTTTCTGTAAAGTTATAAGCAAGTACGGTATAGTGATTTTGATGTCTAGTCGGTTTTGTTACAATGTCACAAGAAGCGTATTATGATATTTTACAGGACGTATAGATAGATCACAGATGTTAGCTCTATTCTGTTTTACATGGAAGGCTTAACTGTTCAAAAATAAAATCTTATTTTTGAAATGTGTAAACAAATAAAATTTTATATTTAAAAAAAATAAAAAAGAAGTACCTTTTTTAAGAAAACGGAGCAAAAATTAATGTCTCTTCTAATTTGTTATGCATTAAATTTTTAACGTTTTCACGCATAGACAACGTATGAAAAAAATTCAAAAATGAATTTCTAGTACACTTGGAATTTTTAATACAAACCTGTCACAAGCAGAAAGAAATTGATAAAAAAAAATGAAAGAAAAAAAAAGATTGTGAAAGAAGATAAGACAAAAAATGGTTCTCGTGAAAACATTCCTGAATGTGATGTTTCAGTACTTTAAACGTTTATTAGAAAACATTCTACACACTTTGAAATATAATGCTGAAGATGATGAAAACGACACGGATGAATTGTTGTTCAATTCATCCGTGTCGTTTTCATATTAGATATTGTCGATTTATAAATAAACTCTCAACCGGGTGAGTCCGGGTCAAGTTATGCATGTAGATTTTTAAATCAATTATTCGCAATGCTTGAACGTCAACTTTTAGTGTTTGAATGACACTATTTTGACGTCACAAACAAACACATAAACAGGTATTTCTTTAGACGTCGCGCACAGAATTGGGGCTCATTTTAGCCCCAATTCTGTGCGCGACGTCTAAAGAAATACCTGTTTATGTGTTTGTTTTAATCAAATATAATTACTTATTTTTAGTTACATAAAATTAATATACAAGTATTATTGACATGTGATATCTATAAAAAGTCGAGGGAGAGGGGGGGTGGTCTTTTTTTAAATATCCAATAAGAAATGATTTTCGCGGTTAGAGATTTGTTATTTAATTACACATCTCTAATTTAAGTGTACAAGTTATAAAAAAAACTTAAGTCCCTATTATAATTTTTTTTGTTATATACAAAGTACTAGTATACATGTAGTGTTAGAATGTTAAAGAAATATCTTAGGAATCTCCTAAATCTATCCAATTAAGGACATCCTTAAAAGAGCTTAGAACTATGTCTGTCTTTTAAAAGAGCTGTCTTAGGATCATCCTAAGTTCTTTCAAAAGACATCTCTCAAGTCATATCTAACGACTATACTTAAGAAACTTTCGATAGCATGCCTGCTGGTGTATAAATTATTGTTGTTCAAAAATTTGAACATCAAACATAAAATTTATATTAAGCAAGTAAGTTTTGAACTAGAAGCATAGAAGCCCATATAAATAATATTTAAAAAATGGAAGCAATAGACTATTTTTTAAATCAATCAAACCAATTTGATACAGGAATCTGTTCATTTAAATTATTTTAAACCTGGGAGGATACTATATTATGTCAAGTTGTTCTTTAAAAACAAATATCAAATCTCGTGTACATGTTTGCTTGGCAGTGGTGCACAGTGTAAGGGCTCTTTCCAACTGATATACGAATTAAGAGATGAACTCATGAAGATCTTGTAATCCCTGCTGCACAAATGAAACAAGCTTCTCATCCTGTAAAATATCGAAAACATTTCTGATACATTTTAAAAAAAATTAAAAAAAATTTTATTGAATAATTCTGACATCTTCGTCGTTGTATCAAATGTTTGAGCAATCTGTGTATATTGTAAGTTGTCTAGGGTAGCATTGTGAAATATGCATCATCAATCCTGGAATATATACATGTACCAAGTTTGAAAAAATTATACTTGATCTAAAAAAAACCTAATGATAATTTAAAAGCCAGTGTTCTGTTTATTTTCTTAAAAATTTCGAATTTACCGGATGACAGTAAATAAAAAAAATTACAATACAACTAATTTTGTATTCATTACTGCCACCGGGAAAATTTAAAATTTACAAAATGACATGTGACTTAATATCAGTGACGCTACCTGAGTACTTCAGGTGACGTAAAACTATTTATAACAATTTTAGTTCTTGCTCGTTACTTCTAGGGAGGTCGTCTAGAACTTACTAGTATATAAAGGCATTCTACTTCAAGGCTAAAGAAGTTTTAATCTCGTTTTCTTCTGTTCAAGAAAACGTCACATTAGTCGACAGTAACGTTTTCTTTTATCGTGGCCGTAGGAACCGGGGGGGGGGGGCACGAGGGTATATGAGAGTGCCCCCCCTCAACTGAAAATGTATGGCTGTGCCCCCCCCCCCCCCAACTGAAATTGCTTCCTACGAGCCTGTTTATTTTGTAATTAGCATAACGTCTAGTGTTCTTTGAAATATTATTTTATATAACGTAAGTTCATTCACAAAATATTGGAATACTGAAACCGATAAATGAAAGACTGTAAGTTACATTGGTCTAATAAGTGACATTCGACAAGTAGGTGTTCTCTGAAAAAGTAGTTTACTATGAGCTTACACCAAAACCCTAGAAAGCATATAATATTTCAAGTCAAGTTAGTCCAAAATAATCGACAAGTTAATGCGCGCTGGTCAAAACCCTGTGTAGCCTTTCTTCATGCAAAAATGACACCTTATATCTTTTTGACCGCGAGTTCTTTACGGTATGTAGCTTTGATACGAAGCCTGCTAAGCACCAAGTGCGGTCCGTCACACTGGCTACCACAGAAATATCGAGACACTCTGATGGATGGAGAAAAAACCCTTCTCATTGCTTTTTTGTATTTTTTACAATAATATATCATCTGAACTCTATAAAACATTCCGAGAAATTAACTACAGTGTGTATATATTTATTCTTTGTGAATACATCAAGTTTATCGGTCATGGTGGCCAAGGAAAGTGGCCAACACCTTGTTTATAAAGATACTTCAAAATTATATAGTTAATAACACAGGGATATAATATGATACTTTACAAAGGAGGGTATTTTTCCTTCTGCTATAGTGCCAGATCCATAGAGATTTTGAAAATTGCAAAATTTGAAACCCCAGATTGTTAATAATGTAAAAATGCCAGCCATCTCACTCATAATGTCTCCAAAGAAATATCAAATTGGCTGCGTTGACGTCGAATGCCAAGAGATAGATTTTATGTAACAATAAGAACTAAAACGAATAAGAAAAGAAACAAACACATTCCAGACACCTTATTGTAATGACTAACAGTAGTTTGTCATTATAATTGTCACTTGTAATAGCTAATGATGACCTATAGTTCTGTGACGATTACTGTCCATTACTGAATTATTTTTGTTTTCAAAAAAATATCTTAGTATTTTTATCTATTTGTTTTTATGTCTGATGTGTAATTAATGTTTTCCTATCACATGTACTGAAAATGTGGACATACATTATTTCAACAACTACAGTATTATAAATTAAACATATCTGGCTTAAATCAAAACTTTACTTAAAGGAATAAAACTATTTTTAGAATTGGGTACAGTTGAAATAGTTTTATAACATACAGTACATGATTCATTTTTGAATTTTGTTAGATTCAATATGTACAGTTTTAGGGAAACAATTATGCCAAAGTCCACATCTCTTTTATTTAAAAAACGTCCAAACGTTGATATCTGATTTCACTAATTAATAGAATTGTTATTTTACAAAAAAAATTACTACATAACTTAGCATCTTATATTTTAAGTTCAGTCGCTTCCAGTTAAAACACCTTTTCATTATCAAATACTACTTTAGTTTACCCTATTCCAAAATAATGAATAGATTTGGATTAAAAATTACCAAATCGTCTCCCCGGGAATCCTGGAGGAAAACCGCCCCGTTGTCCCCTAAAGAATGGCGGTCTCATAGGAGGCGGTCGCCTCATTAATGAATTTTGTGGAAATGGCAGGGGTGGTCCCTGCATAGGGAATTGTCCAATCATATTTTGTTGCATAGGCACTGGCATTTGTCCATTTTGAAACATAAATCTTCTATTTTGAAAAATTGCGTTTTGCATCGGATTGGGTCCCTGAAAAGGAAGTGGTTGTTGCATTGGCGCCTGCCCTGGAGGGGAAAACCTTTGATTTGGGAACATCATGTTGTTTACGGGATTCATTCCATTTATTGGCATTCTGGGTGGTAATAACGCGTTTGTAGAGGCAAGATTGTTTTGTTGCGCTGCCATCAAACTTGAATCTTGTGTAATAATTTGGCCATTCACAATTTGTTGTCCAACTAAGTGTTCAAGTGTAGGTGCCTCTATCATCTGTCCATTAATGTCTGCGATAAAAACTTTTCCATTAAATCTGATGATGCTTCCATTTATGGATGTGTCTGCTGAACCTACATTTGAATCAGTTCCAGAGTTCTGTGTCTGTGAGTTTTGTGTTATCTGCTGGGCTTGTTGCACTGTATTTTGAATTGTCTTTTGTACATCCGAATTGCTGTTTGTTTGTTGTATCGAAGAAAGTTGTTGTTGTTGTGTTGCTTGGTCTCGCTGAAAAGGTTGTAAAGATGTCCCCGGAGCAGCTTGAAATGTTGTTCCTTGAATCTGAATTTGTTGCGAATTCTGTTGAAGATTATTTCCAGGCAATTGTTGCATAGGTTGCAGCTGACTCCCTAAAGCCGCCTGGGGTTGCGGACCAGTCGATACTGGCTGTTGTGCACTACCTGCAGCTGGGGGGAATGGAACCATTTGAAATGGCGTATACGAAATTTGATTTGGAGAGGCTTGAACCCCTTGAAAAGGGACACCCTGTGCTTGAAATGTTTGCAATGGTTGGGTGGATTGAAAGACTGGTTGGCTTGGAATTTGTGCAAATACATTTGTCGAAAGCAGTAAAATCAGAACTGTCAATCTAACCTCCATTTTGTTTTGAAAAAATCCTCTTTGTATAGCTAAAGTATAGAAAAAAACTCTTTTCAGTTAATAAATAAAGGTGCAATTATTGCACAAATTCAATTTTTTTTTTACATATCAGAAAACAATAAAAGCGTTGTACACATGAATTATTCATTTAAAAAAAATTTTGTATAAAATAAAATTAGTATTAAGAGTTTCATTTAACATATCAAAAACACTTTTCTCCTTACCTACATAACAATCTAATCCTTCTCTGTATAAATTGGATGTAAATTTAACACAAGGCAACACTCCTCGCGCGTGTAAATAAAATAAAAAAGTGTAAAACGGGCGACAACGATGATATATTAATTATGATCATAAAAGGCGTCAGGAGGCAGGTGCTCTTTGGCCTATCGGCACCTCACCTAACGTAGACAGCGACGAATATCAGGGGCATTAACAGACATAAATGTAGCAATAGCATACAGGCGAACATTTTTATGAGGTTATTGGAATATGATTGACATCGTACATATATATTCCCATCTAATTACTTATAATTACCGATTCCGAGATTTTCATAGAAAATGATTTTATGTCATCTTATTGGATTTTACCTTATCCAGGATATTTTATGGAAATGTGAAAATAACGAATACATGTACATAGTAATCAAACTCTAAACTCACTTTAACATTACAGATGGAGATCAGCGCAAACAAGGACCCTTGAAAATATCAGTGGAAGGATCAGGAGGAGAAAGCATCCGCTGTCAACCGGTCATACCCGCAATGAGCACGTTGTCTTAATCGGGTAAACGAAGACAAATCGGTATGAAGCGAATGACCCAAAAATATTAATGAAAAACCTGAGTCGGCCGAATGACAGTTGTATTTGCAAACCAGGTCATTGTAACGACCATAGAATATGCCAATGTTAATCTTAAAGCAGAATGTTGATACGCTTGTAACATCAACTTATTTATTAGTAGCCTCTCTCGGTTCAGAAATTGTTCGCAGATCATGTTCTTGTGTACCGAATCAACTAGGAGACCCATACACCATGGCAAATTGTTTTTTTAAAGAGGAAAATTGATGGAATTGTTAAAGTCATCACGTTTATCATAAGATTAGTCGTTAGTTTGCCATTAATGTCAATCTCCGGTAAAACATCCAAATATGAAACAGAAATTTCAGACTCTGTGTTTCTTTTAATTTTTCTTTATTTTTTGACAATCGTGAAAAAAGTACTATCCATTAAAATATAAATCCCACCAAAAGACCGTGTTTTCATTACTTTGAAGTGGAATTCCCTCCTAGACTTCCTACACCGTGTTCCTGAAGCTACTACAGATAAGGATCTGAGAAATACTAAACTGGATCATGTATCTTTGTTTTTGCAAAATGAAATACCTTCATCAGTCTGCTGTCTTTCTATGTATTAATATTAACACAAAGATTCATTTATTTCCCTTAAATATAAAATAAGGACATCAGTTCAGTTATTCAGTTTATTAAGGTCAAGAGAATTACAACAATCGCACGGACAATCTTTACAAACATATACATGTAAGTACATATAAAAAAAGGTCGTAAAAGCTTATTATATATATTAGATTTTGTTTTCGTATATGTCTTATATTGTGGGCATTTTAGATCGAAATAAAACCCTTCCTTAATATCCCCTTATTCACAAAGATTCCATATTCTGTCATTTCTTTCAATTTTGTATATTTGCAATCATTAGATTATGTGCAGATAGACTTGATCTGTGATTGATATTCTTTATTTCAAACGGTTTACATAAGTGAGAGAAGTGAGTGGGCAGAATTATCGACAAGGTGTTGGTAAATAAGGTATTTTTTGGTGATTTATATAGATATGACATAATATTATTGTACAAATACATCACACATTTTCTGATATGCAATATAAATTGTGTTTCTATTTATACAATTTTTATCATACACTTTGCAAATCCCAATCTATGAAATTCATTTTAATATTAACAATCCATTCAGCATTATTTTGAGACCTGACTTCAGAATACAATTATCACTATTCCCTAGTATTAAGCAATATCTGAAGTTAACACACTGTTTGCAAAAGTACATCGTCGTGAGTAGACATACGTGTATATACTTGAATTTTTGTTGGAGTGTCTGTCTGTTTGGAAACTTCATTACCTTTGGAATGAATTTCAGAATCACAAATACAGACATTTATTGTAAGCATATAGATCCAATTAACAAATCTCTTTCAGACAACACAACTAGTAATGACCAGGTGCAGTTTATTTCTGTAACTTGTCTAGCTGTTAACGGCGATTGATCAGAATTTCATTTTCCCACCAGGAACCGAAATTACCATTAAAGTTATCGCATCAACAGTAGAAAGTCTTCATGTAAGTTTTGTTTTTGTTTGTTTGTTTTTGTTTTTGTTTTTTAAACAAGCGTTATGTTATAGAGCAGATCTGGAAAATAATATTTCTATGGTGGGTCTGGAGTCATCTCTATGACACAACGAACACATGATAAAAAAAAGAATTTTTGCCCTTTTTTCTCTTAACAAAATATCAAAGAGTGTAAAAGTAAATTAAACTAAAAACTAAACTACATTTCGGCAAAACTAAATGAAATGTGTCAGTTTTTGGAGAGAAAAAATTCCCCTTTCTACATTCATCAATAAAAATGATGAAACTCACAATCTAAATAAGCCGTGTTGAAGCAAAAACTTAAGTTAAATTTACCCGACTTCTATAATTATAAAACTGTATGATTTTTTTAAGTGTTGAGCTCTACGACAGTTATGTCCATGCATTTTGTGGTGACATGACAGTGCAGTGAAGATATAGGCCAAACAAATAATGCTATATTGAAGGAATCGTGAATAGATACTTATTCCTTATAATTACATATAAAAAACGTTTTTTTTTCTTTTCTGTTTTATTCCACTTAATAAATCTTATTAATATTATTAATTTTCTTTACGCCTACTTTTATCATACGAGATCACAGTATGAAGATATAACCACTAATTTTACCGGCATAATAATTAAAAAAAATACTAGTGTAATGTAAACAATGCTACATGTACATGTATATACATATAAGTTCAGACGTTTTATGTACTGTATCTTGTCTTTTACATAACAGTTACCGGTAGATGATAACAAAACTGGAAATGGTTTTGCTATAAAATGTATTTTACATAACATACAAAAATAAAACACTCGTCATGAAATATACAATGTTAATATATATACAGCGTACGTTCCTAGAACGTGAGTTTAAGATGGAAGTCTTTGGGAGAAAGAATAATCCACAGTGTAAGTGGATGAAAAATTTTGTGTTGATTGACACAAATTCCTTCACACATATCACAATGTCGTAGTCGTCTGGATCGTAGAATCAGCATCTCCGAGAGCTGCCGGTGCCTCCTTATCTTTTCTTATCGTGCACTTCTAAATTTATTTTCCTGCAAAAATTGCGTAAAACATACATGTACATTAGAAACTATAAGATTCATCAACTTTCCTTCTACAAAATTTGAAAAAATAATATTTAACAATTTTTTGATTGACGAAGGGATTTTGATTTTCTGCTCTGTAGTCTGGTCAATGTAATTTTTTCCATCAAAGTCTCGCAGTGAAAAGTGTTAAAAATGAGAATACAGAAACAAAATATAAAAAAATGTACTTACCGACTGGTTGTCTAAGTCCAGGGTTTAGTTGATTGAACTGGTTAAATTGGCCTGGAAATTGACCAACCATACCAGGTTGTCCAAAACGGTTGAAAGTATTTAGACCATTGTTGAATCCAGTGCCGAACTGGTTAAATCCTGTACCAAATTGATTTCCGAAGGGAGACCCCAGTGGAGTATTAAATCCAGTAGTTCCGAACTGATTGAAGCCCGTAGTTCCGGCAAATCCACCAAGCTGCCCGCTAGGCACAAGGGATGGATTCCGACCAAACTGACCATTTATACCAAACTGGTTTCCAAACTGATTGAAGGCTCCAAACTGGTTCATTCCTAATTGTCCTTGCATTCCAAACTGATTGAATTGTGTTCCAAGTTGGCCAGGAATTCCTCCGATTTGACCAGGAACTCCGAATTGACCAGGAACACCACCTATCTGACCGGGACGAAGTTGTGCATTTAACTGTGGATTGATTTGTGCGAAATTCCTTCCACAGAAAGCAAGCGAAACGCAAATTACAAACAAAAACCTCATCTACAAAAAATAGAGTATATTTTCATTAAAGAATTCAGTCAATCAAAATCTATAATTAAAAACAATACTGTAAAGAAACATACTTTAATGCACATGTATGAATTCTCGAACAGATGTATATTCTTACCTTGTTGGAGACCAATATACCCAGGTTAATACTAACTTTGAATGACCAATCCAGGTTATTTATGCAGCTTTTTAGAGAGGGATGTCTGGGCTATTTACCATCAATCAACTGTTACGTTAATTGACACTGGCTTCGTGATTTCTCACCTCTTATTCATTCACCAATCACAGAGTTTGATTTGGACATTACCAGGGTGCCCGTAGGATCGGGGAAGTTGGGTGTTATACACAGATGATACAATGTTATCTCTGGACCAAAGAGGAACTTAAGGCAAGGGAAACGAATATGAATAAATATAGTTATCTAGATAATTTGGAGACAGAGAGATACATGTAGTAACTATTCTTATGTTTCTCTAATTGAAAAAGTTCCGTAGCAAATAGAAGAAAAGTGTGCGATTAAATAAAGCTGTTTCTTGAGCCGTACTTTTTTTTTTAACAGATATCAAATACTTAAAGCATGAAACGGGATATTAGGTTTTTTGATATTTAACAGAATATCAAATGCAGCACTAGCTCCAATTCTTTATTTTATTATACAGGGCACTGATCTTTGCGACATGAAGGACGAGAACAGTAATAGAAATGTTGTTTTTCATTAATGTGGACGTCTTGAAAACAAGTCTGGATACCTTTTTTTAGACAAACTTTAAAAATTGTGTCCAAAATTCTGAACATTTTGTTCAATGTTTTTTTTCTATGATGAAGCGATAGAATACTAATGCTGTGATATCAACTCATGTTGACACATTTAAAATAACGTCATACACCCCAGATCCGAGTCTATTGCTGGTCATTACTCATATAAAACATTGTACAATATGTCCACGAGGCACATTGTCCATTAACGCCATGGGTGTCGTTTACAGAAAGTCAGTGTTATTTAATTAAAGAGATTAATGGCTTAATCAAGACGCAAGTATTTCTAACGTTAGTAATATACTTGAGTAAGAAAAACATATGTTTGACCAATGACCTGAAACGTATTTTCATAATAATGTAATTCACTTACATATATGGCTGGTCATATGTCATTCTTGAAAATAGATATTAAAATGTAAATCTCAAAAAGCTACTTAATTGTTCTGTATTAATTTAATTACTAACAATTACCAAATGAGATGACAACAGAAATCTCACTTTAAATTTTGCCTGATTGAAGAATCTGAAAATTGTTGACATTTGTCAGCTGAAAAAAATACCCATTTTACCAAAAAATAACATAAAAGCCTTGTGGTAAATTATGTACATGTATTTATTTGTTGGAATAATGTAATTACCACGTACCAGCTTCCCATTAAATCTGATCGAATAATGTACAGTTGTAATAATTATTCATTAGCTTTTCATTAATTTTGACATGAAAAAATTCATTAACTAAGGCTCTGACAATAGATTTTACACACCAATATTCTGAAAATAAATTGCTTATTTCTAGTATCAAGAATATTGAAGAAACTAAACATGTTCGTTACTGGAATATATATTATCTAATAAATCTTTAAGAATTTTTTAAAAGTAAAACAGAAACAAACAAACAAAAACGCACAGATCTTTAATAATATTTAAAAAAACATTCAAACAAATACTACATAATATGTCGTAGAATAATATTTAGACGTAGAACTGGAAATCAGCCATGATCATCTGTTTTCCAAATTCAATATATTCTTCAAGTGTGAAGATGAAAAAGATTCAAGTCAAGGGGAGTTATTCTTAAGTAATTTGAATATTGGCAAGTTCAGCTTATCACAAGCAACTGCTAATGCCAGGTGTTTTTCAACATTCGTCCACTGATACTTTTCTAAAAGGAAGCGCACAATTTGTTCTGGACGATAATCTTCAGGAAAATTAGAGGCAATCGCCAGAGTTTGCTTCGTCCTTCTAATATTCAAAATGCATTCAAGGAGGAAGAAATCTCTTTTAGCACATGCAATCTCAATTGCTTTGTTCACAGCATCGTCTGACCATTCGCAATCATCAACCTTTGCGAAAATAGAATACAGAGGAATGGCTTTTGGAGAATACGCGCCTAAAACTAAGCAGTTGTCAGTGAGTTGCGTACCTGCCTCCATGAGGAAGTTTACGACTTCAACATTCCCTTTCATGCATGCGGTCTGCAAAGCAAATTCGCAGAGACGACTGTCCCATTTTCGGGATCTGTAGATGAGTTCAATCATTTCATAACTATCACTACTTAGTCCTGCAGCCAACTGCAAAACACCATCATCAACATGGATTCCGTCAGCTATTAGTAACTGGGCTTTTTGAGCATGTCCATGGCGACAGGTCAATCTGAGAGCCTCAATTTTCTGTTCCTCAGTTAAAAGATTTATCAAAACATACTCTAAAATCCTATTTGAGCCAGCTCCCGTTTCTATGAGAAGGTGAAGATGTGCTTCCGTAAATGACACATCGCTTTTCTGCAGAATGAACTTAAAAACGTTAACATTATCTCGAATACATGCTTGTTTAAAGGCATTCTCTTTCATTTCTGAATCCCATTGCTGAAAAATCCGCAATTTTTCTAAATATGCCGAAAGTTTTTCATCTATAGTTCCGGTATGTCGTCTTTGCTTTGGGATTAAAACATGCGATTCACTTGTTAGATATTCCACAAGTTCAAAAGATGATACGTCGATTTGAGTCAAGTTATCATTGGACATCTTCGGATGAATTCCAGTTTGTTCAGACTGTGTCAAAGGATGTTCCGATATGTAGTGAACAGCACCGTAGTGTAGTATGATCTCTACAACTTGTGGACAGTCCGAGTTCATCGCCAGAGCAAGCGTAAACTTTCTTTCGCGTCGAAACCAGGCATTGTTTGGATCATAAGATTGTATGATTTGAGATAAAAACGCGGGATTTCTGTAGCTGAAGAAGACAAGAGATGGTGAATGGTCTCCAATGTCAACCGAGCACTGTGAAACCAGTCTGGCTGCATCGGAAAAATTGTACCGTCTGGAAATTAAGCTTTGGAGACATGAAGCTTTATTGAAATGTTGCAAAAGGTTTTTGACAAAACGATTTTGTTGCATGATTTTCAAGTTGATGGTTTCATAAGGGTTTTGAGTTATTTCTGTATAAATTCTAGAATAAAGTATTGCACACTGTTCTGTTCTCAAAATCAGTTTGCTCCGTATATCTGTTTTTTCGTCATTTCCTAAAAAGTCGCACCATACTAGATCTAAATCTGTATTTCCACATTTACATAAAACAACTTCGAGGAATTTTCTTCCTGCGACTATGAAAACAGTTTCTCGAACCGAAGTGTGCGAAAATTCGTATACTGATGAGGATGTACTGAAGGAGAGAAATACCCCTTGCAGGAGTTTAAGATTTTTCCGCAGCCTTTCCAGATCAGGTGCACTTGATCCAAATTTCCCTAACATTTCGTGCAAAGCGTCGGTTTTGTTTAACAAATGGTGACTTGGAAAACAAGAGTCTTTTGAAAACAACAACACCACACAAAGAGTCACAAATCTATCAAAATGAAAGTCAAACATTTCCTCAATGTATCCCATTAGTATTTCATAAGGATGAGTGAAAAAATTCAAACCGTTTCGAAAAAAGTTTTCATGTGAGAAAAACAATTTGCAAAGATGGGGAAAACCTAACGGTGTGTCCGTATTTCCAATCTTATTTTTCAGGTTTTTTGAAAGACATTTTTTGTAACAATTCGAATAATTATCCAACATTTCTATTTTGGAAAGTCTATCTATTTTATAGTCCATTGCTAAATTGACCACATATCTGTCTGTAAAAATGTTGTGTTGACTGAATTTGGAGGACCGTAGAAATCTCAGACTTTCGGAGTAAATATTATTTCTCGAGGTAATAACAATGAAAACACTCCTCATGTCTGGATTCCCAAACCCCTTATACAGGTATAACTCCTCGAATCTTTGTCGCCAACTTTCAAAGAGATTCATTTCAAAACCGAAACTTCCAAAAATATCATCCAATAAAATGATACATTTTTCTTCTGTCATCAAGATTTTATGCATTTCGTCTGATTTTGAATTCCATAATTTTATTGGGGTCATTTTACAAACTTCATGGAAGTGGCGTAACACAGAGAGACCTAGTATTGTTTTTCCTTGCCCTGCCTTCCCTATTATTACAGCCAACCCTGTCTCCAATATACGCTTGATGACGTCATCCAAGACAGGTAACTCTGTGTAGCATGGCGGTCCGAGTTGTTGGTCCATAAGGCGTTTGGTTTGTTCTGAGAATTGAATATATAAAAAAGTAAAACCATACTGGAATTAACAAATGCTGATGGCACTCCTCTTTTGAAGCAAGTTTACTAATACTCATTAATTATTTTTTAAAATGTTTTTTTGTAATCTTCCTTATTGTTGATAACAAAGATGGCTGTAGTTCTAAGTCAGTTAAAAATATTCAACAAAGAAACACTTACCAATCAGGCTTTCTGCCAATGGATCCCATGGCTTATGATCTCCTGAGTTTGCTGTGAAGAAATTATATCGGTAAAACATTATTGTCAGTAAACATAGTACAAAAGAGGAAATGTAGTCAAACCTATACATAGTTTGAAAATTCAAGTTCAAAATTGACAGCACAAATAAATTGTATATATATAGAACTGTAAAAGCATTAGTCTGAGAGATTCTCTAGAGCATAATTAATTATCTTCGCTATTTATCTTTGTGATATTATGATAGTCTTTCTCGTTTACGGAAGTCCACATTAAGTATTATGCTCATTGTCAAGTGTGTATGAAGAATGGAGGTGACTATTACTGTTTGACCCTTTTTGATTTTTTTTATTTCAATACATGTACATTGCACACACAGAGACAGAGAGAGAGAGAGAGAGAGAGAGAGAGAGAAAGAGAGATTTACTCAGTATTTAATCTTACTGGTTATTGTAACGTTAGTGATGTTTGATAAGCTGACATTATTGGTTCTCCTCGCATCCTGTTGATTGAAAATGTAATTAAAAATAATTCATTATAAACAAATAACTATAGAACAAGCAGGAGAAAAGCAGGAGAAAACAAAGTCAAACGCATAAAGGATACAGCACTTGTCTGATGTTAAAAACCTCATTTGTTACAAAACTCTTTCATCATAGAATATTCATTCATTTTGTACCCAATACCATTCTTTATTCAAACAAAGATTTTTTGACCTTGTTCTTGATATGTATCAATTAAATATTCATCAAAAATAAAAGTAAATATATTGATTAATATAGAGAAACCTTTGACTTTGATACCTCATTATTAATATTTTATTTCCTAAGCGCTGAAAAATACCGAACAAAAGATCTATTTCTTTTTGTCTAATACATCATAGCTCACCGGGGCGCTTGATTTTTGTTTTTTGTATTCATAGATATCAGACATGGATGTATTTGTTTTCTAGACATTTCTGCTGTTTTGTTTCCTTTCCTTCACACGCAGTAGTAAATTAATGATAATTTACTTTATCAATTAGGGCCTAAAGTTCACATTAGAACATAATCAAGCAAAACTTTTTCCGAAATTTTACGCCAGATGGAGCAATTTTTTTGCTTGAAGCTGTGACTCTTTTTTTTAAAGACGGAAAAATAATTTTATCTCTTTTTATTTTTTAGCAGCTTCCTGTTAATTTTAAGAGCGTTGATTTTTGTGTGAATTGGAATGGAAAAGACACTGTGCTTGATTTTAAGCACCTAGTAAACCTTGACGAAGATTTATTGGGAGGAGTTAGAGATGGTGGGATTTGATCACGCCTAACAGTCACTTGCAGCTTACATTTAGCAGCCTCCCCTCCTTTGAATAATCAACCCAGATATTAAACTAGTTTTGTAATAGTATATCCCATTAAATAATTATTCTGCGAAATATGATAAGTCACAATCACAACTTTGAAGGTCTCCTTCTAGATAAAACAGGTACGTAGTATCGTTTTTGAAAGGGAGAGGGGCAGCCAGAAAAAAGTCAACTGAGAAAATTTTGACAAGCAAAAAAAAAAAAAAAAAAAAATAAATAAATAAATAAAAAAAAATAATAAATTAATTAATAAAAGTAAAAAAAAAATTGTCCATAGTTGAAAATCGTATTGGGGGGGGGGGATTCGGGGGAGGTTCCAACTTTTTTCACAAATTTTATTAATACTGTACATCACCACATTTGCCGTTATTTTTTATACTGCAACAAAAAGTTATGTTTGGAAAACAGATTGGGGAGGGGGGAGCACGTCCCCCTGACCCCCTCCCCTTTGATATTACGTGCCTGTGAATGGGGCACCAATATTATTGGTCTATGAAATAGGATTCACATCTATAATCACATGCATTATGGTTTGCCTTGAAGAATTTTTCCATATTTTGTATGAAACGCAAGAGTTCAAGCATAGTGCGTTTGCATGGGTTATTTCTAGTTTGTTTTAAAATCAAATTCTCCATCTAGATAATACTTACTGAGTCAGCTGATGGCACAATCTGATCTTCCATGATAACTGGGGATTTCCCGAACTAATATTGGGCTATGTCACCACCTATTATAAACAAACAAGTACTTATCAGGGATAAAATGAAATGTGTATTGGAGTACATATTCAGTACATTTGATCATGAACATGATAAGTTTTTCTTACAAGGTGTGAATTAAAAGAAATTGTCGAAGTCATCGTTCCCTATTCTAAATATAAGATCTACATCAATTTGTATTTTTTCTCATCTTTTATTACGTTAATTCCAAGTACAATGAAACCTTACATTGTCTAATATCTAATACATATATCAATATTTATTTATCATGAGAAAATATATCCGACATGCAAAAATTACCAGGTGTTATTACTTCATTAATTTTGTAGAATTTAACTTAATGCATGTACATGTATTCAGTTTGCATTTTTCAGAAACTGCAATGTTTGCTCGTCTAGTACACCTCAGTCGATAAAAGATAAAAAAACAAAACAAAAACAAAAACTGATAATGTTCGAAAAAGGGTAAACATACTTGCGTTTAATCCCGTATATCATCATAGTTTGTCAAGTGGTGAGCTGCATACTAAGAAAAGTTTTGAGTGACCAATACTTATTACATGTAAATGTACATATAGTTTATATGTACATTATCTATAGATAGAATCTTACATCATGAAACTAATATTATCTTATCAAACCGTGCGTTTGTTATCTATATGCATATATTCTTAATTTCTGATAAGATCAGATACTAGTTTGTGTATATCAATACATAATTTTACAATTTACAAGATACATTTACAAAACAAGATTGTCCTTCTATTATATAAAATACAATTTATACATCATAAAAAAATTTATTTCGCATATAAATAATTAGTAAAACAGTAAAAACCAATTACTTGTTAATATACAATCAATATTATCACGAGATAATATGCTTAAAGTTAAGATATTCATAACCTTACAGCAAATAAGTTAATAGAAATGTAAAAGAGAAGCTAAAAATCTTCTTAACTTTGAACAATGATTTACTTTCTTTGAATATAGATTGATAGTACTCTGATACATTCGAAAAATCACATTTAGCCACGGAAAAAAACTATCTGTATAAATTCTTTTTTAAAGAAAGAAAGAAAAAATCGCCTCATACAATTTCTTGATACAACCACCATGATTTTATGAAGATGATTTCTATACATTAGTTATAACTAGTAAGTATTATACAAGGAAACGTGTCTATACCATTGTGCCAATGATATGGTTTTTTGCATTTTAAGAGGGCAAATAATTGACTACCCACCAGTAACATCACTATTCTTCTCAGACGAACGCTCTTTGTCTTCATATCTTTTACTGCACTCTATATATTATGTATAAATTCCCTCATATCTTCTTCTGTTTCGTAACGTGACGGAAACAATTCGAGCACTCTGTACACTATAAATTGATTATTGAACATCAAGCATCAGAAAACTGTGCCGCCCCATGGGTATTCATCGGAGCTATCCAGCTAATAAAAAATACATTGATCTTGTTTCTACTGGACCATGTTTTTGCTATTGATAATGTTACTTACATGTAACCGTGAAAGACGAGTGCGCTATCAAAAAGAATGTAACACACAGAGAGGTACGTAAGATAGATATATAATATGCTTGGCAGATTTTTTAATTTATTTCATGAAGAAATAATGTATATATCAGTTTTTATTTTCCAAATATTGCATTATCTTGGTTTCTTAAAACTTGAGAAATATCTTGAGTTCTATGGTTGGTGTTTTTTTCTGCAATAATATAATATATATTATAAATGCATTTTTTTTCTAACATCTAAATACTTTATCTAATCATAGGTACACTTTTTGCATATTTTTTTCTAATTTTTTTTATTTTACATATAGTTTTTTCAATCTCTAAATAAAATAAAATTGGTTTCAGACATTTTCATGAGTGTTTTGGGACACACTTAACACTATTAGTTTGTTTGACTTTAATTTATGTACCTGAATGAACTTTGATTACGGACAGAGGACAGAAGCAAACTTAAAAAAAAATCATGAAAATAACAAATTCATGTTAATATAAGTAAAATGAATGTTTAATGCATATATCATATTTTTCATTCATAGTTTCACAATAATGTCTTATAAAATTATGAAATGTTGTATAGATTAATAAGGCTGATGGCAGAAAAGTAGAAAACAACGAATCAGATGCGAATCATACTTTAAGATTTTTAAAATACTATCAAAGAATAAATTCTTAAAATTGTTTTTGTGAAGCAGAAGTGTAAAAATTTCTGGCATTGTATATTGACTTTTTATTTTGTAATTTTTAACAAACTCGCTAAAAATCTTGAAAGCAAAACGTGAAATAATTATCAGTGTTTTGCTCTTTGTGTTGACATGCCAATATTCTGAAGTTGAAAATAATAACTTTATGACATTGTGAAAAAGGTGTACATTACTCGTATTTATTTTCGATTGGCTAAATTTTCAGTATTCAGTGTAAAACACTAGAAGAAAGCAATAAAACAATAAACGAGCCTAGCTAAATAAGTATTTTGTCAACTTACCTAGTGGTACAAGTATTCTTCATACTTTATAATTGACTTCTTGTAAATCAAGTGGGGATCATTGAATAAGTGGTCTAATATCTAACTTTTCCCCCCGAGATTCGGTTTTATTGCATTTAAACTCTTAATCTGGGAATTTCTGTGCTGCATAAACCATTGCTTTTATGTACCGGCTAAAATGTTGTAGACTATATTGCACGACTTCCAAATCTCCAAAGTATGTAATTTAAAAAAATGGGGAATTGGCTCTGAAAAGACAAAAAATAACTTAAAGCTCAATAAATATTCAATGTTAACAAAATTATTTCATAGATGACTTTTAAAAATCAATTCTGATGAAAATTTATCCAAAACTTGACGTACAGATCAAGTTCTTTATATTGTAGAAACTCTTGGACTTTGGCTACAGTTGCAAATTGGGATGTATCTTGATGTTTAGATACAGTAACTGCTGAAAATGTCTAGTAATCACACAGATGACACATCTGAGAGCAGTTCTATTTCGTTAGAACCCACAACGGAAGTAACGTATCTTGTTGATACACCATCTCCCTGCAGCGAGGATTTTGATACAGACCTTGAAAATTCAGGTAACCACGTATTTCTAATCAATTGAAAAATTGCTACCATTTAATAGAGATTCACGGCATGGGCATATATTTTCAAGTTAATTAATCTCATTTGTAAATAAGAAGTTAAAGAGAAGATACTTGATTTTAGGAGTAGTTAAATGAAGAAAAATGAAGACTTGAAATGTCTAAAACATTCCACATAATTACAAAACAAGTGAAGCATCATAATCTTCAACATTCACTAACGGATCTTTTATATATTTTTGTTAAATGATAAACCAACTTTAAAGCATAAGTACAGGTATCTGCTACGGGTATTAAATACTTGTATCCAACATCAATTAATTCCAATTAACGCGATTTTTATCAAATACGGCATTGCAATGAGGAAAAGCTTTAGGACAATCAAGATTTCGCATATCTAAATATTTGTAATTAATCTTTTCATCTATTCTATTTCTTTTAGATGATATTGATAAAGAAAGACAAGAACTTAAAAGCCGAGAAAATGTGGATATAGGTCACCATACCTACATGGAAGTCTGTCAGGAACTAAATACAGTTCCGATACGACTTGTTCAACAACAGCTCAAGGAGAGCGAAATATGCCTACAACACATTGGCCTAAACACCAATGACGTCATTGCTCTGATGTATGCTTTACTGGTTCGTAGACATTGTGTTGCTTCTTGATTGTATAAATTGATTTCTTTTCCTTGATCTCTGTATTTAGTATAATTATTATGTAATATTTCTTATGCTGAGAGAAAATAATAACAAAAAACGTTAATTTGATTCCAGCACAACAGCAGGGTAGAGAACCTCGATTTAACAGACAATGGAATGTCTGAAGAAGCCCAGTTACACGTCATCGAGGTCCTACGTCATAACAATGCAATTTCAAGTCTTGTGAGGGTCGCTATATATCTTAATATGTTATTGGCAGAAACGTTTTCTATCATTAACAATGATTTTTGTTGTATTATTAACAGTAAAGGTAATGAAATGTCTGAATATGTCTCATATGTGGATGAAAATGGCAATATTTAGTAAAATAATTTTACTATTTCTATGCCCCCGTAATTGAAGATTGGGGGCATATAGTTTTTGATCTGTCCGTCCGTCTGTTTGTCTGCTAATGTTTGTCCTTAACCTTGCTCATACTTTTTAAATGGTTGGTGCCAGGGCTTTCATATTTAAATACATATTCCTTTTGACAAGACCTTTCTTTGGGTACCAACATATTTGACCTCTATACCTTGACCTTGGAATTTGACCAACTTCCAAACTTTAACCTTGACCATAACTTTTGAAAGGTTGGAACTAGGAATTTTTTTTATGTCTCATGTGTATTTCACGCATCCAGACCTTTTTTGGGGTACCAACATTTTTACCTTACCTTGAATTTGAATTTGACCTACTTTTGAAAAACTTTTATCTTGGCCATAACTTTTGAACAGTGAGTGCTAGGATTTTCATATATAATATGTATATTCCTTGTGACAAGACCTTTCTTTGGCCTGGGTAACAACATTTTGGACCTCATGACCTTGATCTTTGAGTTTGACCTACATTTGAAACTTTTATCTTGGCCATAACTTTTGAACAGTGAGTGCTAGGATTTTCATATATAATATGTATATTCCTTGTGACAAGACCTTTCTTTGGCCTGGGTAACAACATTTTGGACCTCATGACCTTGATCTTTGAGTTTGACCTACATTTGAAAAACTTTAACCTTGCCTATAACCTTTGAACGGTTCCTGCTAGGTCTTTCACTTATGTATTTGTTGTGACAAGATCTTTTGTTTGGTACCATTATTTTACTTCATGACATTGACCTTGAAGTATGACCAACTTTTTGAAAAACATGAACCTTGGCCATGTTTTTGAATGGTTGGTACTAGGGCTATTACATTTCACAGGTGTATTCCTTTTGACAAGACCTTTCTTTGGGTATCAACATTTTTTAACTCTTGACCCTGGAGTTTGACCTACGTTTGAAAAACTTTAACCTTGGCCTTGAGCTGCCATACGGGGCATTAGTGTTTCACAAGCACATCTTGTTTACATAGAATTTATCCGAAAACAGAACGACACCAATCTGTTGTGCCTCCCTTGCTAATGTAATAGAGGAAACTACATGGCTGACACACTTGAATTTATCAGGTAATTGTGTATTTATTGCAAACCTCACTCAGTTTGACATTTACCCTGTTAGAAAAAAATAAACATTTATAAATCCTTTAGCAAATCAAACTGATACGATGTATTACTTTTCAATGGTTCAGTGAAATATATGGATAACGAACAGTATTCAAGTTCAAAAGTCCATTAAACAAATGAATACAAATTTTGGAGCAGAGCAAACACGGACCTCTAAAATATCAGAGGTGGGATCAGGTGCCATGGAGGAGTGAACATCCTCTGCCGACCGGTCACACCCGCCGTGCGCTCCTTGTCATGATCGGGAAATAACGGGAAAATCCGTCGACAATTCAGTGTGTAAATAGTCAAACAGATTTTATCGCTAGTATCCAAAACATTTTATTTAGTAAGCGTCTGCCTATAGTAAACCTGTTCTGTTCCGTTATATTTTCTCAAAAATTGTTCAGTTTGGAGCTATGACCAAGACAATAAGTTTTGTTAGCCGAACCTTACATAGAACTCAGGGACCGATCTGAACATGTGGCTGTTCAGACACGCTATACGATACCGTCTTTTTTCACAGTATAATAGGAGTATTTTTAGTCTGCGTGCTGCAGATTATAACTGAGTACCAGTAATCTGGGTCATTCTTTTATAAGTACTGATTCCATTGAAGAAAGCATCCTTTTCCCCCCAGGATAAGCTAAACATTTTCCAAATCGTCCTATAATACAATACTTTCCTTTTAAGGTACTGGAATTGGCGATGATGGTGCAAAACATATTGCAACAGGCATGAGAGTAAGTCTACTGCAAATTACTTAGTAATCCTATTCCCATGACTTGCATATTAATATGTGAATGAATCAATTTTTACTTGAGATATAAAATATTTTCTTTCATTTTCAAAAGGGCAACGTAAGCATCGTTTGGTTAAATCTGAGTCACAATGACATCGAAGAAGCAGGAGCTACTCGAATTGGAAAAGCCCTAAGTGAGTACTTATCACATAAAACATGTTCTCAGTAATCTTTTAAAGTAGTAGTTTAAATTTTTAATGTCTCCAAGACCATATACCGGCATGCTGTTTCTTTGTAGCAATTAACGACACTCTACATGTGCTAGACCTGAGTTGGAACCATATTAGGATGATAGGGGCGGTGTCTCTTTGTAAAGGCTTACAGGTACTTGTGTAAAACGGTGTTCAGTTGCACCAGATAACAATGAAACATACAGTTATTTTATCATTATCTGATTTATTACTGGCCATCATTGACATATGCAGTGCTGTGAACTTTGACAACGACAGTGACTATTCAGATTATGAATGATTGGAACCTTTGTCTATCAAATTTCCTGAGAACTGGTTTCTTACTATCCTCTATGGGACTGTATCACAGATTTGTTGAATTTTTTTTTTTATTGTAAATTGCAAAATTATGCAGCTTATAACTGACGTGCGATTTAGCAGTATTCCGGAGATTAAACAAATCCTCACTAATTAAAAAACCTGAATATTTCCATTATTATCAACGTTCACTTCATCACAAATGTCAAGGAGTAACATTATTCGTTTTATCATGTTTATTCCCCCCTCCCCTCCTTTCTGTACTCTTTCTGATCCATTTGTTTTCTTTCTCTCTTTATCGTGTTCATGCACGGTTAAAAATTGAGCAAGTATGCTTTAAAAGAATCTAAACAAAACTGATCAGTGTCTTTTGACAGGAAAATACGTCCATTACCAACCTCAACGTTTCTTGGAACGGTTTGGGGTTTGAAGGTAGTATAGCTCTTGAGGATGCTCTGAAGGAGAACACAGCTTTAAAAGTCCTTGACCTCACCAACAACAGAATCACGTGGGAGGGAGTGAAACATATTATTAGAGGACTAAAGGCTAATGAAACACTACAGGTGTTAAAGGTGTAAAAGAGATGTTAACTACATTTATATCAGATTCTGCATTTGAAGCATTACAATTTTAAGAATAATTTAAATGTATTGCATGTACATGTATTAGAAATTGATTTCCTGCAACTCCATGAGGGTCACTTAAAATATAGCATATAATGTGAACCCCCGTCACTCTCTTGGAGAGTCTCTTTCTCTATAACGTGGATGAGAGGTCTGGTTTTTTTTTTGTTTTTGTTTTTTTTTTTAAAGTTAAAGAGCTTAAATATCATCTAATTCTTTAATTTGTTTTATAGATTGGGACTAACCCTATCACTATGGATGGTTGTCGGAGAATCCTTGAGGCTGTTGATAAGCCTGAAAGTTGTATCATACATGTTAATTTTGAGGTTAATATATTTCTACATTAAAAAATGGGCAATAAATCTTTTAATTAAAAGAGATGTCGAAAAGCAATCTCAAAAGTTTTTAATGTTGCTTTCTGCATTCTTCCTCCCTCTAGTTTGGTTTTTATAAAATATCAAGCAGAATTGTTTTTTGCGAGCTTTTTTTCGAGAATCATTTTTTTTTTTAAGTTTGGTCACATGATCATAAGTCATATTCTTGGAGACATAGAGAGAGATCACAAGGAAGGAAAAATGTAAAGAAGCACCCGAGTGAATAAGATGCGTAGATTTTAGAAAATTTATCAATTATTTGAAATTAGGGAATACCAATCAATAGTAGCATTGAGGAGCTGGCGGAAAGCATTGCAAAAAAGCGTTCCTTTACTTATGCGCATGGTGGTGTCACAGACTCGCACTTTATGATGGGAATAAAAAGAGGTATCAAAAATTAATCATAAGGTTCAGATTCCTTTCTGAAAAACTAATTTACAGATGTGTATCTGTCAAAGCTTGCCTCAAATCAGTTTGTGTTATTAATAAGTGCCAAGGATATTGTTTTCTTTTGTTGAATTTGCGATCAGAATTACTTATTTTTAGTGAAGAGAGAAGACCCGTTTACCTTGCTGATTAGATACATCAATATGATGGGGATACGGATAATGGATTTGTTCCGGATGCTTGACACTAAAAATGGAGCCACCGTGTCCAAGGCCAACTTCATCCGAGGACTAAAGGTCATAATTAACAGTCTAATTATTGATCATTCAGTGTGATATTACAAGAACGTATTTCTTTTTTTTTTACATAGAATTAGTAAGCAATTTTTAATTTAGTTATTACACAATTTCCCTGTAATCATCGTTTTACCCTTAAAAGTATTTTCACTATACAAATACTACAGATCTAAAGACCAATAGATCACGAATAAATGTTAATGAAAGTAGTCAAACAATTTTGATATTTGACCGGCTACTGGTCCAAAATACGAATTGTTGGACTGCTTAAATATCAACTAATTATATGTATCCCCTGCAACGAAGTTGGAGGGGATATAGTAATGCGCGCGTGAGTGTGTGCGTAATGGAAGTAATATATCGGATCGACATTTGCTGCTTTGCTGAATTGAATATTTGTTGTAACTTGTTTTCGTGATTTTTGTATTACGATCACAAAAATATAAATGAAACAAATTAAACATAAGATTCAATCTTATAGTTCTTGTTTAATGTGAATATTGAGTTGTGATCAATCGAGTTCTGAGTTATTCTATCCTTGACTGCTTAATGAAAAAGGTGAAGATAACGAACAGTGATCAAGATAACGAACAATGATCGATCTCGGGGGAAAAAACTACAAACAATTCTGTGAACAGGGCATAAAAGACAAACCCCCGGGAATTCCAGAGGTGGGATCAGGTGCCTAGGAGGAGTAAGCATCCCCTGTCGACCTGTCACAACCGCCGTGAGCCTTTATTATGTGTTGATCAGTTACTCGGAATATTCCGTAATCAAATTTAGTTAAAAAACAACTTTATGATTGGTATGAAATACGTCAGACAAAATACGACCCAATGATAGGCTATATTTGCTAACAAGGTCATTATAACGACCTTGTAATTTACGAAATGTTGATTGTTAACTAGGTTGTTGAAAATCGGTAATGAGTTTATCACAATATTCGATATTTTCCATTTGTATTGTATAATTTTTCCATTTACATTGTATGATTTCTATTTGTATTGTATAATCTTTATTTGTATTCTATAATTTTCCCTTCGTATTCTGTGATTTGTTTGGTGTTATATAATTGTTTAGTTATACAAGATAACTAAAAAAATATACAATACAAATTGAAAAAGTATGCGATAAAAATGGAAAATTATTCAATTTAAATGAAAAATTATACGATACAAATGGAAAATTAATTATACATACAAATCAAAATTATACAATACAAACGGAAAAATGGAAAAATAATACAAATGGAAAAGATTGAATATTGCAACGTTTGACATGCAATGTTACATCTCATTCTACACGGCCTTTTCCATCAAGTCGAGCAAACCCGATATTTACAGAAATAAATGAAAAAAAATATATATATCTACACATTTTACGGAAATTTGCAGTAAATTTAAATTCTTCCTTGCTCTAATGCACACTAAAGAAAAATCTACGAAAACCTTTCGTGACTTTCTAAGATATAATCAAAGGAACAAATAGTGATTTAAAAAATCCAAAATCCCTATGTTCAAATCAGATCTGTTTCAAATTTAAACGTGGTCATCCTTGCCTGAAAATTTTCATGAAAATCCATCACCAGATTCTGAGAAATCTTGTGAACAGATTGACAGACAGACGGACGTACAGATGGAAGTCATGAATATGAAAACATAACTTGCCAACTGCGTTAGTGGCTATAATAAACCGAGTTACTTCTCTTTGTATCTATTTATCCTATATGAACAGTCGCTAGGATTTACTATAGAAAAATATATAATATATGTACATGTACTGGACGTGTAATAAAGATGACTTGTGTATTTTATCTACAGAAAATTGGAGCACCAATCAGCGAGAATGACATGAGAACTGTCGCCCAAAGGCTGGAAAGAAAAGGACAAGGGTCAATTAGTTACAGGTAAAGTATACATGTACTACCGTAGCTCATTAAATTTCAAATGAAATTGAAAATTTTAACATATTGATTTATTCCAATAATATTTATTCACAAAAGTGAATGGGACTGGGCAGCAGGCATAACCTATTTTAGCCCTCTCCCTACATCAAAGTCACGGTAAATACATACATGGAAGGGACATGGCTACAGATTTGAATTTGATGTTTATAAACTTCAAAATTTTGGTAGTTTTCATGACTTGCATTTAGCAAGAGCGTTTCAGACTTTATATATTAAATAAACTAGAGACTTACAGTATGTTATCTGAAATGCTAAAAACTACAAATGTTAAAAACTACAAATTTCGGGGATTTTTTTTGCACTTTCATGAACTAAAATTTATCCTTATTTCTTAATATTCAGAGTGTAAATTCTTAGGTATATTAATAAAAAAAAGTTATTTAAATCAAGAAAAATCAAAAGAGAAATGTACGAAATCAAAACCAACACAGCAGTGTTGTCAGTTTGTGGTCAGTGATGTGAGCAATGTCAGCAAACACTTGTAAAACGACAGCCCCCCCCCCCCCCTCAAAAAAGAAAAAAAGCTCAATGTTTACAAAAACAGATGTTTGGTGTAAGGTTATTTGTCACTGAGTTTTTCATATAAGACATTTCCAAGTTTTTATCTACATTTAGCGTCCACGTGCGCCTTGTTTTCTTTGACAATCCCCGATGAAAAAAAAAAAAAAATCAGCAGTCCAAAATTTGTTTTTGATGGTGGAAACGTTTGTATTCTGTCAATTTCTTTCTATATTTGTTGAGAATCTGTCAAATTTGGTGTATACTTAGCATATACTTCCTTGATTTTGCGAAGCATATATCTTTCTACGAGAAAAGAAGAATAATGAAATGTTGTCGTTTTAACGTCCTTGAACTCTGTGTTTTACTTATCGGCTAGTGTTTTTTCTATAATTAGGTAGGTATGTTCTTGCATGATAGGTGGACGCTAAACAGAAAAAAAACTTGGAGTAGCCTAAGTTCAAGTCATGAAACTGAATTTTTTTTAAAAACTAGAAATAGAAATTCAAAATTGTAACTAAAACAGCAATGCAATTGCGTCCATGCCCCTGAAAATAAACAAATCAAGATATAGAAAAAGAAATAAGGAAAGAAAGAAGGAAAATTACAGAGAAGTTACGTATTTGCCATGTAATCATTTCAACTTCAGACTAAAATTAATGAACGACAAAACTAACTTGAAAAGCATCATGTCGGAAAATATTATGTCCAAGTCAGTGTAAATTTGCAGTCTCATTCTTTTTACGATGCATACATTATGAGACATAAGAAGTATCAAATCATGATAAACTTTGTATGCTTTTCCAAAAATTGCATATGATTATCATTTGATTGTTTGATGTTTTCAAGTGTTCTTGCTAATGGAGTTCGAAACCATATACGAGAAGAAAGGAAGGAAGACAAGCGACAGGAGATGATAGAAAAACAAAAACGAGAAAAAAGGAAAAACATTCTTCATCAGGGATCTCAGCGCATGATTCCAGAGGAATTACAAGAACTTAGACTTCTCTCCGCCATGGGCAACACCAAGACTTTTTCTCAGGTTTTTAGTTCCGCATCATCAGTGTCCAGCCGTCATGGATCCATTGCTGGGAGGGAATCCCTCATATTACCGCCTCTCCAAGAAACTTCGATAAATGTCACAGAAACAGTTCAGTCTGCGCGGACATTCTCTTTTCCGCTAACTTCTGGTGTCAAAGAAAAAAGTACAAGTGCACAACCGAGACAGAAAATCGGAGGTAGTTTATCGCTATAATGGCTTTGATGATTAAAAGTATTACAAACCTCTTCAATACTATTGATCTCCGAGTCATTTTTCACTTAGTCTACATGTACAAATGGGCAATTAATCATTTGTCGTAATGAAGTTTGGATTAACTAAAAAGTCCTCTGACTTACAAAGAAACGTCCATTTTTCCTCAACAAAAGAAAACGAAATCTTTTCGATCGTATGATTATCATGAGTTTCTAATTTCCAATACAATACATTATTGGAATTGATCAAATTTAGTTTCTAATAGCGTGCCATTATTGAATAATTTTTATCGTCTATGGATTTTGAAAATATCCAGAATAGAACAGAAGCTCTTTATCTACCTGTCAAAGTATCCGCACTTACCAACGCGATACAAAAAGCCCCAAGACTTCATTGTGTCTCCCCGAACGGGAGGATACTTATTGGTTTCTGTCATATTGAACTTGATTAAAATAAACATTTGATGACATATGGACAATAAAGGAGGCACTTAACACATTTTTCTAGAAGTCATTAATAATTTCTGGAAGTTGTTTATGTATCTCACTTGATTTTTAATTATAAGTCGGAACTTGATTGTTAATTACAAGTCGGAACTAGATTTTTTAATTAATAGCGATTCTCTGTAACCACTTAAACTTCTTTGCCACGCATGGTCACCGATTTTGATGAAACTTTGCCCATTATTACAACTTGACACCAGAAACAGATATCAAATAAAATTTCGTTGCTATGTGTCTTGGTTGCCATGGTAACAGCCAGAAAAGTTGGAAAAACTGAGATTTTCAGCTACCTTGAATCTTTATTAAGCCTTAACAAAGACTAAGAATAACAAACAAACCATTCTCACAAAAACATGACACCTTGTTGGCACTTATGCTATAAAGAAACTATTTAGAATTTATCTCTAAATAAGTGGTAACCATGGGTACATTCGGAATACATTTTAGATGCTGAAAAATGCAGAAAAACGCTCAATATTCACTAATGATAGGTGTTAAATGATCAAACTCAATCAGCAACCTAAGAAAAAACAATAAAAATATTTGACCTTAAGTAATTAGGTATTGGCAATATTATTCTAAAAATAACTTTCATGGTTGCCATGGTAACACAGTGTTACCATGCTAAATGTGTTGCTAAGATTGGGTTAATGCTACTATCTTCAGGAAAAAGAATAAATTTCATGACTGGCACATATACATCCTTAGGACCTTGCAACACCAACAATATAAGAAAAATTGGGATTAATTGTTACTTTGCAGTGTAACCATGGAAACAATGAACCAGTTGTTAAAAGTGATATTTTTTTTTGCTGCCTTAGGAATAGTACTTATCTGGTAGAACTAAAGTTGAATATCATATACTGATAACGTTTGTTGAAAAATACAACACTGTTGCTATGGTAACCAAGAAGGGAATATGTTCGATTTTGTTAATTTTATATCAATATTAAACCTTATGTGCCAGCTTTTTGCATCCAGATAGAGATTGGGTGGCAGTCAAAATTGAAAGTCAGGTTAGTTGTTCATAATTATCAATCATAAAAGTTTTGGGAATCTACATACAAGGGTACGTATCCAAGGAAACAGAATATTTTTTCAGATTTTTATGCATATTTCTCGGCTTATTTCCATAGCAACGCTCTATATAAAGAATTGAATTTGAATTTTTTGAAATATGAAAATTAGGCCCACATGAACATCTTTAAAAATTGATCATTAGTTATATAGAAATATGCTTTTTAAAAAGATAGGATTAGATTTAAACACTAACAGAGTAAATTTAAAATCCCTTCTTGGCATTAAAACCATGGCAACCATTGCCAACCTATAAGAAATTTCATAATTCTTCCTTGATATATGTTACAAAGATCTTTTGTCTATTATTTGCTTGCATTTCAACCTATATTTTTTTTTATTCTTAAGTGTATGATTTTATAAAATTAAATGAACAAAATTATTACTTTTGAATACTTTGTTTCCATAGTAACGTATGTAATAGTTGATTTACCAAACATGTTTATCATGCATTTAAGACATCAGGCCTTCAACTTTCAGAAACAATCATTGACACTTGTTTGCTTTGCTGCAAACGTTAACTGTGAGACTCTGAACATGTTGAAAAATGCCATTTTTCAAACTTCAGGACATGTTGCCATGGTAACCATGACACGTAGCAACCAATTTCTGCCTGATTTAAGTTTACGGTATCAAAGACTTTTATCATAGAGAGTTTGGAGAAATTCTGAGACTATGCGTGCCACAGCTCCTATATAAAAGTTCAAGTCGTTACAGATAATGGCTCTTATAAGTCGGAACTTCTATACAAGGTACATGCTGTCTTTGATGATAAAGAGAAGGGAGACTTATATTTGCTTCAAAACAAATTCCTATCTCCCAGACGCAATTAACATAATAACCCAACTGATATGTTTATATTTACAATATTTTAACAGATATGCTATTGAATGTTCGATTTTGTAATTATTAAATTATGATATGCATCAGAAGTATATTCTTAGTTGTCGAGTCAGTTGTCTCCCTCTGATTCGTGTGTATCCATATAATTGTGTCTTTCTTTTTTTAGTTATTACGTTCGCCATCTTGATTTGACTTTGGTTTTCTATCAAACAGAACAAAACTTTTAAAATATATATATATAATTTACAGTTATACATAAAATAAAATTACAGTTTTATATATATATATATATATATATATATATATATATATATATATATATATATATATATATATATATATATATATATATATGTATATTGCAATAAACAGATGTTTCATTTTGGTAAAAAAAAAAAAAGAAAAAAGAAAAATGATAACTAAACCGTTTTTCATCTATTTTTAAAACATCTTATACTAATCTTTCTTGAAACCGACATGCATTAAAATACATGATTTATTTCATCTGTACAATGTAAAATATTCCAAAATATTGAGAGTATATTTCTTTGGTAAACCATTCATTTTTTTTCTCTTGTTTACCTGTCTTGTAATATTTTTAGCGAAACCCAAGAGCCGTGGTAAAATATGCACCCAGAAATTAATTGACCACTTAAAATACTTGAGGAGCAAAATGCAAAAGCTTGACAGAATGGAGAGTCAAACTTTCAAAGTTTGACAAGTTTGCAACATGCAGATGGATGTATCGCTTTGTTTATATTAGTTTCCATCTCTTATCTTTCACAATAACTTGATAAATGACCCAAACGTATCAAAGAAACTACACCTGGCAATAGCCTGGCACTATGTATGTAAACTTTCCAGATTAACGTGACTGGCAGATAATGGAAACCATTTTAACTAAAGACCGAGTTGTTTCATATGGTCCCTTAGATGAGACGAAAGCAATCCCTCTACACCTCTCCACCGAGATTTAATCAGTGAAGTATCTAAACAGAAACCAAGTTACTGCGTACACAAAAGACAGAAAACCAAGTTAGACAAGAGAGTATGCGTCGTCCATTGGAAGAAAGAACCAACAACGGAGTTGAGCTTTAGAAATTATAATCCATTTGTCTTTGATATATGGAGAGGTCTTGTCGTCTGCTGAAGAGGTATTGTCGTCTGTCAGAAACAAGATGACTCAGAAAGTACATACAGAAAAAAAGATCTTCAATTCACTTTTCAGACATTGCAGCATGCAAACTTACAACATTTTTTTTCTTTGAATTCTTATTTTTGGATGTCGCCAGTCGTGTAACAGCACTTGGCTGTGCCGAGAAATTGAATACCGCGCGTTACCGCGGTATGATAATTTGTCGGCACGGATAGTTGTTATTATACGATCGACGACATCCAAAAATAAGGGTTTTTTTGTTTATTTATTGTTTAACGTCCCTCTCAAGAATTTTTCACTCATATGGAGACGCCACCACTTGCCGGTGGAGAGCTGCAAATTTTGACCTATACTTGGCACTCAGGGCCATTGAGCAGTGAGGGATCTTTTTCGTGCCAGCACCTACTGCGACACGGGACCTCGGTTTATACGGTCTCATCCGAAAGCCGCGACGTAAGGATCAACTTACTCCGCGACTCTAGAGCGAACGCTCTAACCACTGCGCCACGCCGGCGACTCCAAAAATAAGAACTGAATGCTTATATATACGTTCTCTTCATAAATGTTAATTTCATTCGTCTTTATTATAAACTTATCGCCTTTCAGAACTACATGGTGTGGTTAACAGACGTGAGAGCCGTTATGATGTAGACTGATTGATTGTATGTTGTTTACGTCCCGTTCGAGAATTTTTCACTCATATAGAGACGTCACCATGTACCGCTGAAGGGCTTCAAATTTAGACCTTTACTCGGCACTTAGGGCCATTGAGCAGTGAAGGTTCTAAATCGCGCCAACGCCTACCGTGACACGGGGCTTCGTTTTTTAAGGTCTCATCCGAAGGACCCGCAACTCTTACTTCAAAGCCTAGCACTTGGCAAAGGACCAATTGCTACCCATGTGTGTGTGTGTGTGTGTGTGGAGAATAAGATTCCCATCCTCCTAAAAAAGTTGAAAAGATAATACAATTAATGTGATTTATTTCACATTTGTAATTTATAACAAACTAAGGTTAAAAAAAAGAGCATTCATTTTTTTTGTAAATTCAATAAATATATACAATGTATATATTTCTTTTGTACAACTGGAAACTTCAGTCGTGGAATTCTATCACTGACACGAAAAAAAGGTTTAAACTGGTATTATGCCCCACGAAGGTAAGTAAATCATTATTATGGAATTCAATTTTCATATTTACACAATCAGGTTTGACCTATCTCAATGTAGTACAATTGGTAGAAGTTAAATATTAATCAAGGAAAGGCCTTGGTGTGATCTCATATTGCTTCCCATTTTATCTATTATTTAAACTATGTTCTCCCGGACAAATTGTGAGCTTGAAAATGAAGATGGATGCTTTGTTTTTCAGCAATAAAACGAAATTCTGTAGATGAAAAATTATTTGAGTATAAAAATTCATCCATTGATATTATACAATAAAGGTCGGGTTGACTAGCGTCGGGCATCAATCTTTAAAATAAATTTTTCAAGAGGAAAACAG